CTAGAGCCAGCAGCTGGCTATCTTAGCTTAGCACAAAGACTGGAAACAGGGGCAAAAAGCTAGCCAGGTTCTGTAAAAAGCAGACATAGACCCGCTAAAACTGGTTGTCTCACCATATCCAAATACATGGTCATTTATCAAAATCTTCAAAGTAATTAAAGCCAGATAAATGTAGTAAAAATGCAACATTTGCCTCTAAAATCTTTGAAATAGACGCATAAACTAGCAGCAAATGGCTATATTCGAGTCAACTTCAACAACTTAAGAAATGTTGAAGTAAAGTACTTGAGTATTATGTTCTTATTTATTATGCACTTATGATAAAGCGTTAATGAAATGTCCACTTTCTAGCCATGACAGCTCATTATCTGTATAACCTAAAATTATTCTAAAGGGAAACAAAATGCTCAGAGAACATGCCATACATAGTTAATCACCGCACATCAAATACCAGCGGTCAACTCTTTTCAACTTGTTTCCATTTACTGTACACACACCGCCAGGCTCATTTGCATTTAAAATAGGTAAGTAAGAAGCCCCCCCGCTTGCTTTGAATCTTGCCGGTATCTGCAGTGTGAATGTAACCACATGCAGCTCTACAGTGGTAGAACACCACAGATGTAATGTACCCTAGGATACACAGATCACTATTCATTATCTCTGTGAAAAGAAGAGAAAGCATTGTGGTTCCTCTAATGATCAGAGTGTAAACACTGCACATATCCCCCGCTCAGCGTCCTGCAGATGGACCCGTAATCTATCCACTCAATCAAACTTCTATTATTGACACACAAGCCAGTAATGTAACTCTCTAAGAAAAACCTCAACCAACACTCAGGCATGGGGACTATGTAATCGTAATACAAAAACAAACTTCATCCCTTACAGTTACATACAAAAAGACGCAATCAGATCACTGGTAAAAAAATAATAATTGGGGAGTAACTAGCAGGATACTAATGGTAAATGGACTTACATTGCGCTGTATCAGGTATTTTTTACCACTCAAAGCGCTTTACATACTACGAGTCATTCACCCTTTCACACCTCATTCATGCAGAGCAGTACCACTTGTTCGGGAAGCTATCATGCACACGCCGTTGGCCATTGGGAGCCACTCAGTGTTCAGTATGTTGCTCAACGATACATCCACATGTTGCCTGTTGGCTGGGATCGAACCCACAATCTTCTGGTTGAAAGGCGTCCACACTCCCTCACAGCCACAGTCGCAAGTCTAGCAGTTCATCATCATAGCCGTTAATTCAAGAATGATTTCACTGGGTGGAACTTTCTCCATCACTAAAACGGAGCATTTTCTATTATATTTTGTAGGTGATATGCCTCCATTGGACTCCTTTGTTTACTTCTGGCTAGCGCTCCAACACATTGTTCATGATAGGCTAAGGGGGGGGGAGGGGGGCAGAGGGTTAAAGAGGTGATGCAGCACAGGCAGAATGAGAACAATAAAGAGCTTTTAAGTAGAGACATTAAATACAAATATGAACCTGAACATTTGCAGAATATGTCCTTGCGTTCCCTCCTGGTCTAGGGTTACCAAAGGGAAGTGACAAAAATATAATAATAACCAGGCGAGAGAAAAGAGGAGAGGAGGCTGAGTTGTGAAGCCACAAGATGGTCTTTTAATTGAAAACATAAAGAAAGGCTCACCAGCCAATTTGCAAGGCAAACTAAGAACAACTTTCTTCTGAAAGAAAGTGACTAAATAGTACAATTTACAAAGACACATGCTGCATATGTCACACAAGCAGCCAGACGAGAAGGAAGAGAGCGACTGCAGCCTTTCTCAGCTCCCTTATGGAGGCCCTGATTGGGGATTGGGAGCACCTGAGGGATAGGCTGCACCTGGAGGGAGACAATCAGGGGGAGAGGGAGAGAGAGACACACACACACACACACACACACACACACACACACACACACACACACACACCCCAGCACCCACTATGGCACGTAACAGTCCTCTTTAAATAAAATAAGAACACTTGGAGCAGTTTTCCATGTCCTAAATAGTACACTAAAGTATTGTTTTTCTCCTGTATTTATTTGCATTGCATTTGATCATGGCGGAATTCCAAAAGTAAACAGGTTCCATTACTTACATTGTGATTCTCAGGTTAAGTTACTGAATGCATTTTTGTTTTTACCTGTAACTACTAATTATAACACTTTTTTGAAACCCCTCCCAACCCTTCTTCCACTTTGGGACAAGAACAAAGCCAGAGCTGATGATGTAGCTCCACACAGGTCAAGCTATTTGTTTACCCTCCTCCAGCAAAGCCAACAACAACTTGTGAGCAAATGGTGCACAGCAGGCACCGTGTCACTGAGTCTCTGCGAAGAAAGCGTAATTGTCCCAGTAATTAGTTGCTAACAACAGCAGAACAATGGGAGTGAGCCACAGCTGTATGTAGAGAGCCTGAGAGGGGGTCGTACCTTCTGAGGTGTAATGAACCCCAGGACCACCAATCAGGTGACGGCTGACTGACAGCCTTGACAACAATGCTCATTGATCCTGCTGTTTATTCTCTGCCTCACATCTGATTGTCTGCTCACATGTCACCTACTCGTAAGGTCGTAAACAGCGAGGTGAAGAAAACAACTGCTCAGATTACCTGCCATCTCAAGCCCCTCTCCCAATGGTGGAAAACCCATTCATATCTTGTATTGACTTTAGCAGGATAGGTTACAATCATCATTTATTAAAAAAGACTCTACAGCGGGAACGGTATTTATTGGCTCCAGTTCCAATTGGCATTTAGTGAAACCCTTATTTTGGCCTAGTTATGGCACCATGATACGCACATGTTGCAGTGAAAATGTAATTCTTACAATCAACAGGGAATGGACAATCTTTATCATTTATTAAAGTGCAAAACATTTAATTAATAGACTCAAGACTCCATCGACAGAAACAGTCATTTAACCTCCCCGGTGATTGCAAAACACTTCATTTAATCCTGACGGAAACAGAAAAACAAAACCGTCTTTGTTTAAGAGTCTTTAAGAGAGATTGAATCAGTAACAGATGAAAATAAAAGAAGCAACCATGGTAACATTTTAACAGTTTACAATGCTGCCTGGCACTTCTGTGAAGAAGAATAAACCCTAAAAAGAAATGCTCTCCAATGGCAATGGAAAATAAGTTTTGGCTATTTTTTACAGGTTTAGCAATGTTTAAAAACCTGCAACTACCTGCCGAATGACCCCTAACACATCACAGTCCCCCTGCTTCCACTCCTACTTATAAAATGGTTACTTTATTATTTGCCCGTTTTGTTAGTTTGTTTACCATATCATTACATTACATGTCACTTGTTAGACGCTTTTATCCAAAGCGACTCACATACTCAATACTGTGGGCAATCCCCACAGGAGCAATTTGGGGTGAAGTGTCTCAGGGACACAACGACATGCTGACTGCAGTGGGGTTTGAACCTGTGACCCCCTGATCCCAACACCAACGCACTAGTCCACTGCACCACAGCCTCCCATAAAGCGGCCTTGGGTCCCTTGAAAGGCGCTATACAAATGTAATCTATTATTATTAGTAATACTGGTGGGTGAAAGCCCTTCACCACAAATTTGATCTTCAACAAATCTCCCTGTGCTTGTATGACCTCTCTGAAGCGGTGCTATGTAATCTCCAACCTTTGTTCTTAGTTTCACAAATTAATATTGAAGTAAATAAATACACAAAGGGGTAAGCCGGTACACACCCTCATTCTTGCCCATTTATAGCACCATGATGAGCACATGATGCAGTTAAAACATAATTACTCAAATCAACAGGGATTTGGACAATCATTACGATTTATTAAAGAACATTTAATGTTAGGCTCTCCTCAAAGCCGCCAGACGCCGTTGACAGAAACAGTCATTTAACCTCCCCGGTGATTGGAAAACAATTAATTTAAACACGACAGCAAGCAACCATGGTAACATTTGAAGAGTTTACAATGCTGCCTGGCGCTTCGTGAAGTTGAACATTACACGTCACAAAATAGAGCCTAGAAAGACATGCTCGTCAATGACAATGGGAAATAAGCCTTGCCCCCTTTCCAACGTTTAAAGGAGCCCTATTCTGCTCGTTTTCAGGTGTATATCAGTACGTAGTGTCTCTACTGTGACATGTCTCCATGCTTTAATGTTCAGAAAGCTCTTTATTCTTCTCACACTGCCTGTGCTGCAGCGCCTCTTTTCACCCTCTGTCTGAAACCAGAGCCCAGTCTGCTCTGATTGGTTAGCTGGCCTGCTCTGTTGTGATTGGTAAACTGTTTACAGATGACCCGCCCCTAAGCCTATCACCATTTTTTGGAACTCTAGCATATAGAAGTGCGAGTGTTACGTACTGATGTCACTATGTCCCGGAAGAAAACAACAAGTCCTACAATGGAGGCGTTTCAGGGATTTTAGCCTTTGCAGACCATTTACATGCACAACTTATAGAACACACTACAGGAGAGGGAAACCCATCCAAAAAAACATATGGGGCCTGCATATACCTGCTAATTTTGGTAGGGGAAAGCCCCTCACCCCAAATTTGTTCCTAAAAATCTCCCTGTGCTTGTATGACCGCTCTGAACCGTTGCTAGTTAATGGAATATGTCCCATCCCAAGGCATCTCGGAGGAAGCTTTGTTCTTAGTTTCACAAATGAATTTTGAAAGGAGTGCATTTGTGAGTGCTAAACACAGAAAGAGAGCCTTAATTAGGCGCATCACAGACAGGCCATGATTGTCAGTGCTGTCAAAAACTGAGTGCATGTGGGTGGAGGTTGTGAAAGAGACAGACGGGAAGTATTTACCTGCATCTTTTGTGTGTGTGTGTGTGTGTGTGTGTGTGTGTGTGTGTGTGTGTGTGTGTGTGTGTGTGTGTGTGTGTGTGTGTGTGCTCCGTAATGCTGTGCAACATTTACCCCCCCTCCCCCCTCATACCATTTAATTCAGGTTTGTCAACTTTCCTCCTACTCTTAATTTGCAGAAACCCTTATGGACAGTCGGTGGGCAACAACAGAGCTGGCATGGACTACGTTCCCAGAGAGCGGGGTGAGTTAGTGTGTGTGTGTGTGTGTGTGTGTGTGTGTGTGTGTGTGTGTGTGTGTGTGTGTGTGTGTGTGTGTGTGTGTGTGTGTGTGTGTGTGTGTGTGTGGTGTGTGTGTGTGTGTGTGTGTGTGTGTGTGTGTGTTTGTGTGTTTTCTTCATTTAACAACATTTGTTCCATTGGCTTGTTAATAGAGCCCAGTCTGCCTTGAACAGCACACCTCCTACTGTTTTATATCTTTGTTTTTGCAGTGTATGTTTGCTTTCCCCGGGTACTAAAAAAAAGCTAATGAGAAACACATTGCATGGAAGAAATCAAAAGATTGTTAATGTTGTGTAATGAAAAAACGAAGGACTTTAAACAACAAAACAAGACGTGCGGATACACAGAGCAAATCCCCTCAGCTTGCCAGCACTATTAGATACCTCACATGTCTCCCCAGGATAGAGTAATTGAAAGCATGTGTCTTTTATAATATGGGCCCAGGAGCGCATTACAGACAGAAATGAGAGTTTTCAGTTGATACCCCCTATAGGAACGGTGAGAAAATAAAACAACACGAATTTGACCCCGGGGCTAACCGCCTGACAAACCTCCCCCACTACCGGCCAGTGTAATTTGTCTTCGCTACGTGAGCGCAAAGTCAGTCAATGGAAATGCTGGGTTTCCATGGAAACGATCTCGGGTAGCCCTTCCTCCCTTCCTTTTCCCCTTTCAAGGGCCCGGGCTCTGAATATCCCAGCATCCATGAAGTCATATGTCAGGAGTGGCGAGGCAGCCCCCCCCCCCCCTCACGGCTGACAGGCCCATACGTTTGGAGGGCCGGCAATTATCATATTTGTCAGGTAGTGCATCAACGTGTTGCCGGTGATTTACGACGCCTAATGCTGACTTGTAGGGCTCATCGTTTGGGAATAAATTGCGCAGGAGCTGCAAGACGTGAGATGAGTTATGCATTATTTTCTTTCAGTTGAAATAATCAATTCCTGGGAAGCTCATTTGTTATGGAAACGAAGCATTCTGTCGGAGAGGGAATTAGAGGGAAAAAAATGTAAAAAAGATTGACTCCTCACAAGGTTATTTCCTAATAGACTAAACGTATTGACCAATGGAGCCATTCATCACAGCCTGTAATGTTAGCATGTTGTGAAGCTGCACATTGACATTATTCAGATTGTTTAAATGATGTTCATGTCCAGGTAGTCGATAGCAGGAAAAAAGATATTGCCCCTAATGTCTAAGAAATTGGTGAATACATTTGAATGATTAACATTCATACAGTGAACACCACACTGTGCAAACACGAATACATAAAAAGGCATACCATCGCTCTCGCAATGAGGAGTGCCTTTGATATTTATGACTTTTATTAGACATTATTTCTTTCAATTATGATGTTTATATAATATATGATTATATAATATTTTATGATTTCATTGCACATTCTTACTTCTTATGTTTATATAAATATTTAATTTAATGATTTTAATGAGTTCCAAAGAGAGTATTTTATTATTTTCAAACATTTGTGTGTTTTTTCAAAATGTTTACAATCAATTCTTATTTTTGTATAATACCTTATCGTATTTCATCTTTTATTGCACATCCTTACTTCTTATTTATTTAAATATTTATCAATATTATCTTTGTATTCTATTATAATTATTTTATGAAATACTCAAATGGAACTGGCCGAAACCCAATTCCCCCCGGGACACAAAAAGTCATTCTGATTCAATCATGAATTCATGTCCACATTACCATCTGTATGTGTGAGAGAGAGCCGGAGACAGTTCCAACTATTTTGGCTTTAGCCTTAAAAAATGTACAATGCATTAGTTTCTAACTAGCCTTGGAAATAACAGCTTTTTGAAGTTTACTTTGGGCCCTTAAATCATGATTTTTTGGCCAACATTTCTGACGCTACATTAGTCCTTAAATGGTAATTTCCAAAGCTTAATACTGTAAAAAGACATCAGTCTGACGTGCATATTAACCACAACAGTTATCTGCTCTCAGGCTGAGTGTGTAGGCACTGGAAAAAGATATATAAATATAATATCATATATTCTGCGTAACATGAAGTACTCAGGAGTGCAATCACACTGACAGCATTGCATTTAGATGAGTATTTTAATAAATAACTCACTGTTTGCATTATAGATATACGGGAAAAGTTTCCATTTAAAGTGTAAAAATGTATGCTCTCATCCCTCCTGGAGCACAGATAACACATATTACTGAGGTATAGAAACCAAATCTCCTCTCGAGGATATTTCTATTGCACTGCAGCAGTTATAGCTGCTTCCTATAGGTGTGTATTATGATAAAAGTCCAACACACACAGAGCTGCAAAACATCCGTCTTCCTACAAACCTGCAACACGTGAGCAGCGTCAAATGTGCATAACGCGTGAAATGTGTTTTAATGAGACGTTTTCTATTAATAGCCTGTAATGATTGGGATTTTCTGAATCATTCATGTAATTAGAAACATTTTAGCTGCAAATTATTCCTCACACATGTACACAACCCCTCTGTGGGGGAGTGTGTGTTGCGTTCTTTATTATCTGCGGCAGACGTCACTCCCCTGTTTTTGGATGCCCTCTATACTTGAATGGTTTGCATTAGGATGCGTTTAACAGTATTCCACTTTAATTAACAACATATTGGATAAGGGGGTTTCTGCGCTGTTGTTGATGAATAAGTCTGTTAATAATAAGATAATCAATTAAATGTAGCCTGGTTTTATTCTTAAACACATTTTTCTGCATCAGTTGGACCCCCTGCCTTTTTGTTTGTCACAGTGTCTCTCTGTTGTCTCCACAGTGGGAGGAAGTGAGCGGCTACGACGACTCCATGAGCCCCATCAGAACCTACCAAGTGTGTAATGTCCGCCAGCCCAGCCAGAACAACTGGCTGAGGACGGACTTTATCCCCCGCAAGGGCGTGCTGCGCGTCTACGTGGAGCTCAAGTTCTCCGTGAGGGACTGCGCCAGCATCCCAAACATCCCCGGCTCCTGCAAGGAGACCTTCAACCTGTTCTACTACGAGTCCGAGGGGGACGCAGCCACCGACAGCAGCCCCCTGTGGAGGGAGAACCCCTACGTGAAGGTGGATACCATCGCCCCGGATGAGAGTTTCTCCCTCCTGGAGGCGGGTCGGATCAACACTAAAGTGCGCAGCTTCGGCCCCCTCTCCAGGGCCGGCTTCTACCTGGCCTTCCAGGACCTTGGCGCCTGCATGTCGCTCATCTCCGTCAGGGTTTTCTTCAAGAAGTGCTCCACCACAATTGCCAATTTTGCCGTCTTCCCCGAGACCGCCACGGGGGCAGAAGCCACCTCCTTAGTGATCGCCCCAGGGGCCTGCGTCAACAACGCCATGGAGGTGTCCGTCCCCCTGAAGCTATACTGCAACGGGGACGGAGAGTGGATGGTCCCCGTGGGCTCCTGCACCTGCGTGGCCGGATACGAACCATCCTCGGACGGAACCCAGTGCCAGGGTACGTGTGTTGTTGTTTTTTTAACTCGATATTTGGGCAACCAGTATTCTGTATACAGTATTCTCTATTGTACAGACAGACTTGAGAAGGGGAAATAGAGGGGATGAGACCTGGCAAATGGTCCCAAACCGGATTTGATGATGGGGACCACGGCACAGTACATGGGTCACCCGCTGTACCAATTGAGCTATATGGCGTCCATGTTATTTATTTTTTTGTTAAGGTATTTTTTGGGCCAGAGTGCCTTTTATGGAGATTTAGAATCGAAAGGGGGAGATAGAGGGGGTGAGGGGTGGCAAATGGTCCCAAACTGGATTTGAACTAGGGTCCTCCACATGGGGACCACACCACTGTACATGGGTCGCCATCTCTACCAATTGAGCTATATGGCGTCCCGTTTGTTATTATTTTGTTATTCTCTTAAGGTATTTTTAAGTATTTTGTTACAGGATTTTTTGGGCCAGAAAAAGCCTTTGTTGGAGATTGAGAATTGGATAGGGTAGATAAAGAGGACGAAAAATGGCTCGGGATTTGAACTGGCAGTGGACACTCCATATAGACCACCTCTAACTAGTGAGCGATACGTTTTATTTAACCAAACCTCCTTTATATGCTCGCTGCACGTCACCTCGGTCTGTGCCCTCTTCGCTGCATTTATTGTGTGGCTCCTGGAAAGGGGGTGAAGGAGGGTGGAGGAGAGTATGAATTAATGAGCTGTTGCAGAGAGGAGCAGAATACAAATATTGCGAGAGAGCGGTGCGGGAGGGAGAGAAAGATAGAATAGAGAGGCGACTCTTTTTGAGGAAAATGCAGATAATAGAAGGGAGAGGCGTCCGGAGAGAAAAAGAGATATTAGCAGAGAACAAGAGATAGTGCGAGGTGTGAATTGCCCAAGATGGGATGGTAGCAGCAGCCAAAATGAGAATAATGAAAAGGGAAGGGAGGGGGGGGACGGGTTACAGGAAGTCAAAGACAGACAAGCGAAAGCCTCGTCTCACCTGGGCGTGAGAAATAGTCGACACGCTTTCCGAGAGCTCATTCGTTGCCATTTGGCGGCTCAAGGTTAAAAGCTTGCCGCCAACGCTTGATAAACAGCTCTCCAGGGCTTCAGCCGGCGGTGGCCATGAGGAAGTGTAATTTCCTCCCGTTAGTTAATCTACAGGCGGCCACACTCATTAACACCATACAGACCCAACGTGAGCCAACACTGCCACGCTAACATTAATCACTCAGACGTTTCATTTCTTACCCGCTAACGGAAGGAGGCTAACACGAGAAGAGACAATGGAAGGTGGTGGTGGGTGGAGGTGGTGGTGAGGGGGGAGGGGGGGAGGGGGGGCATTCGTGTAGCGAAAACAGGAGAATCACCATGCCCTCCAAAAGAAGTTAATGGATTGAAAAAAGACCGCGTGGGTGATTCAGCACCCTCTTCCAAAAGGAGCGAAAGGAAAACAAACAAACGGAGGAAAATGATGATGCATTTTCTAATAGAAGTGAAATTAATCAGATCGCAGGGCCTTAAAGGTCTCGCTGAATTATGAGACAGAGAGGAGGAGAAGGAAAAAAAAGGAATGCATTTTCATCTTATCTTTGGCTTTTTATTGCAGGGCTATAGAGCTGCAATGTGGGGGCCATTAGCCGCGCTGATTTCCCTCAAAGTGCCATTGTTTGGAATTAGGGGTGGAAGTCGAGTTCAAACTGAAAGACCACTTAGCCTAACCAGTTAATCACACTCCATCGCTGGCTGGGATTTTTTTACGAGGCCCTCACGCTGACGGGACAGATGTTTGCCAGACACCCCCACTTTTACACCACCAGTTAGGAATGTGGCAACAGTAAAATATGGGGCTCTGGAGGCTGATATATCCAGACCTTTTGCTGCTAATCCCCTTTATCTGAGCCCTTCTTTAGTGTGGGCTTATGCTGGTTTATCCCTAAGACTCCGTATCAGCAACCTTCACCGTCACGCTCTGGAATTCAAATGAACCGCTCGGACACGTCCTATATATTTTTCCGATATCCTTTGCTAATTTCTCTGATGCCTAATTGTTGACAAAGTATACAGATTATTTACTTGAGTAAAAGTACCAATACCCCCTGTGAAAATACTAAATGTTCTAGTTAAATTACTACAGCGACAATGGTACTTAAAGGTCCCATGTCATGCTTTTCCGGTTATTACCCGTCTCCTTGTGTGTTATGAAGGTTTTTCTGCATGTAAACGGTCTGCAGAGTCAAAACCCTCAAAGTGCACCCTGTAGCGAGTAAAACTCTAACACAGAAAATACCTGTCTGTGCTGCCCCAGAACGCCTCGTTGGAGATTTCTCTTTTTCCATTGTTTTCTTCCTGGGTACAGTGACGTGCCCATACCCAAATGGATCAATCCGTGGAGCTCCACACACACACACACACACACACACACACACACACACACACACACACACACACACACACACACACACACACACACACACACACACACACACACACACACACACACACACACACACACACACACACACACACACACACACACACACACACACACACACACACACTCTCAGTGGCAAAACTGTGACGCGCTGGGGGGTGTGCTAGTGTAGCCTCGTAGCGGCGAAACTGTGGCGCACTTACACTGTAGGTGCGCCGCGTTTGGGGGGGTGGGGGTTGCGGGTGCTAGTGGAGCCTCGCAGATGGGGGTGCTTCAGCCCCCTCAGCTTCCCCCCCCCCTTCCCACGTCCATTCGCGATATCTCGCTGTCTCGTAGACCCACGCAGCAAGCAGGAAATTAACCCAGCTCACACTGTCCGCTCCGCGCAACGTCCCGCCAACACGGCACCCAGACCCCACGCAGCATTCTCATCTGTTTGTCCTTACTGGTGTCATTTTCTGGTTGCTAACGCTATTGTAACACATAATCACTGATGTTCTGCTGTAACGGTGGTAGACTCATCAGAACAGAGTGGGCGAGCTGACCAATCAGAGCACAGTGGGCTCACAGGGAGGGGGGGGGGGCAGGAGCTCCAACAAGCCGTTTAGGACAGAGAGTGAATACACATACTATACAGAGATGCTGTTTGAGAAACCAATGTGAGTTTGGAACATTGCACAATATAAATCTATTCTAGTAGACCTCAACAATGGAATTATGATCAGTAGAAATGGCCATGACATGGGACCTTTAAAGGGGATCTATCATGCAAAATGCACTCTTGTACGTCTTTTATACATGAATATGTGTCCCCAGTGTGTCAGGGAACTCACCAAGTGTCAGAAAACACAACCCTCTCTCTTTTCCTCCATACCCAAATCTCTAAAAACGGGGCTGCAACAGAGCTGATTATTATTTGAATTTTTCTGATGTCAGAAAAGGGGTGCTCCCCTTAATGGGCAACTCTCCACCTATCAGGGGAATGAGAGACGGTATCTCTGTGCATTCACAATGCCATCAATAAAATGCACCTGTGTTCGTCGTCCATAACATACGCCTGCCCATACCATAACCCCACCACCACCATGGGCCACTCGATTCACAACATTGACATCAGAAAACCGCTCACCCACACGACGCCACACACGCTGTCTGCCATCTGCCCTGAACAGTGAAAACCGGGATTCATCCGTGAAGAGAACACCTCTCCAACGTGCCAGACGCCATCGAATGTGAGCATTTGCCCACTCAAGTCGGTTACGACGACGAACCGGAGTCAGGTCGAGACCCCGATGAGGACGACGAGCATGCAGATGAGCTTCCCTGAGATGGTTTCTGACAGCTTGTGCAGAAATTCTTTGGTTATGCAAACCGATTGTTGCAGCAGCTGTCCGAGTGGCTGGTCTCAGACGATCTTGGAGGTGAACATGCTGGATGTGGAGGTCCTGGGATGGTGTGGTTACACGTGGTCTGCGGTTGTGAGGCCGGTTGGATGTACTGCCAAATTCTCTGAAACGCCTTTGGAGACGGCTTATGGTTGAGAAATGAACATTCAATTCACGGGCAACAGCTCTGGTGGACATTCCTGCTGTCAGCATTCCAATTGCCCGCTACCTCAAAACTTGCGACATCTGTGGCATTGTGCTGTGTGATAAAACTGAACATTTTAGAGTGGCCTTTTATTGTGGCCAGCCTAAGGCACACCTGTGCAATAATCATGCTGTCTAATCAGCATCTTGATATGCCACACCTGTGAGGTGGGATGGATTATCTCGGCAAAGGAGAAGTGCTCACTATCACAGTTTTTTTCAGATTTGTGAACAATATTTGAGAGAAATGGTTATTTTGTGTTTATAGAAAATGTTTTAGATCTTTGAGTTCATCGCATGAAAAATGGGAGCAAAAACAAAAGTGTTGCGTTTATATTTTTGTTCAGTGTAGGTATGGCCCTACAATATATTTTTAAAATATAGCATGATAGGTCTACTTTAAGTAAATGTATCAAAAAATAAGAAAATATTTTAAAGCAAAAGCAGCAAAACTTCACAAACAAGAAGCTGGAACTGTAAAATATTTTGTAACAAAAAACTTCTTAGCAAAATGACTGCCAATTAACCCACCCCTTGTTTATAAGTACTTAATGTTGGATGATGTAATCTATTCCAAACAACCAAGTAACTGGTAGATAAATCTGTAAAATAAATGTAGCATGTAACTACATTTGCTGCCAAAATGTAGTGGAGTAGAAGTATAAAGCAGTATAAAAAATACTTGGGTAAAGTACAAGTACCCGAAATGTGTACCTAAGTACACATTTCAGTAAATGTACTTACACTGAAACGTTGACTTTACTGTAATTAAATGTATTATGTCCACAGATTTCACATCTCAATAATATTGAGTTTAAAAAAAACATATTAGGTTTAGCTTAATATTATTGCTTTCAACTAACCTAATACAGTTATGTGAAATCTGTTGACATAATGCATTTAATTAAAGTCAACGTTTCAGTTTTCAGTGTCGCTACTATCATTTTAACTGATTTATTGGCTTATTATGGAGTTGTTGTGCGTTGTGGATGCTGTTTGTATTCAGCAGTGTGGTTTGGAGAGCTGGGGACACTCCAGACACTGATTGATGGGTTTAGGGTGTATCCCGTTTTCTCAGAAGCATTCTACATCCCTGTTTGTCTGAGTCCTGTCAGCGAGGGGGCCTATCTCCGTCTTCATCCTCCTCTTCAACACGAGACTTAGCTGTCATCCCAGCTCTCTTTTATACCGGGAGATTATTGTCATCTGGTAGAGGGAGTGAAAAGGGAAGAGCACATGCAAATGTAAAGATAAGAAGCTTGTGATGAAGTGTTTGCCATCTCTCATGGACCTATCAACGTTTTTCGCATTAATATCGAGCGTCGCAGGTGCAGTTTTTGTTCAGATGTGACAGCCTCTTGTGTTTTAAATGACAAGCACATTCTAGTTTTTGTTCTCATTGTCTTTTTTGTTTTTGTTTTTTTTCTCCCGCCCATCCAGCTTGCATCCCTGGGACCTTCAAATCCAAATTTGGGGAGGGATTCTGCACCCCCTGCCCATCCAACAGTCGCACCAGTGCACGAGGAGCCAATATTTGCCCCTGCCAAAGTGGCTTCTACCGCGCTGACAGCGACCCCCCCCGACTCCGCATGCACCAGTAAGTCATCGTCCACTGTGCAGGCTGCAATCCTCAATGTTGGTATTCTGAGAGGAGGCACAGGAAGCAGGAGTAATGTTTGGTGATTTGTCATTGCCATGTTTCAAAGATTAATTTAAAGGCTTTATTGTCTTATGCATAACAATTGTTGTGTCAACAAAAATCGTTATTCCCAGTACAACAAGGCATACAAACAGAAACAGAAGAAAATAGTACAATAAAGTAGTGTATGACCCAATGGTGTAACTAAAATGCAGAAATAAGTAAACTATGTACATGTAAAAACGAATAAGATGAAACAGAATGGAAAATGTAAAACTGTACAGTAACAGTTGAATAAAATACAGCTTATTGTAGCAATAGGTGGCATCTGTCATTGTGTTTAAGGGCCAAGAGGATTCAAATATAGTTTTGTCTGGCTAAGAAATCAGAGTTAAGATCTGTGGTGCTTCAAGTCATAAACGGAAAATATAATACCAAAGTGGCTTTTTTGCCTTTAAACTGTTACATGAATCATGATTGTTGGGTTCTTCTATTTTAGTAAATATTTCCAACAATTTGCAAACCATGTTGCTGTCGTCATACATCCTAAATGGACTGCAATATTAAGCCACATTTTTACAGTACACTTTTTTGGATCTTGATCCGTTTTAACCAGATGTCTGGATGTCGAGTGATCAGAGATAACTGCTGAGCAAACATGAGGGCAGCTAAGCAGCACCAGAGAAACGCCTGTTTTAGCATCAAACTGCTTTACTCAATGTTATACCAGTTTGATTCACATGGTCCGGTTGTTTAAGGGAAGCGTAGACCTCTGCTGATGATTCGGCTCACGGTAAACAATGTTATCCTACTCGGGAGAAGGATCCTGAAATGACAAACCCCTATTATGCTCCTTCACAATGCCACAAATCACCATCTTTTGTTATTGTTTAGGCAGAAAATTACATATTGTGCGTTTACGTGGCCAAAAGCTAATCTATATCTTTATAGTAACAAAACAAAGGGCAATGTGAGAATGGGAAAGAAATCGCTTTTAGTGATTTGCCTTTTTTTGTGTGAAAAAGCTTTAAAAACACGCTCAGCCCCAAACACAGGACAGATCATGTTAGCCACTAGCTAGCGCACCGTGTGTCGTATTTAGCTAAAGAGATAGCTAATTCCCTCGCTCCATGATCCAAATGGGAACGGTCCGTTTGGAGGTAACTAGTCTCTGTGTTGCTGACCGCCTCTGAGAGGAGTCCCGGCAGTGGGACTGATGGAGAGCGACATGTGCTGCCTTGGCCATGTAAAATCCCCCCCCAGGGGCCTCCGGCGCATTAAATGACACACAGGGCCCGCAACTGTCTTCCCCAGATCCTCGTCACAGGAACACAGTGGACTCTGACATTGACCAGTGCGCACAGACAGGCGGTCAGAGACTCAAGCAGCACCTCCGACTCAACACACACAAACACACACACACAAACACTCTGACAGCCCGTCGGGACAGAGCTGTCAGAGCTGTGCCAAGCTGCCTGCGCTTTGTGTTGCCTAAGAGAGGCTCAGCCAGTCAGTGGCCGGCGGCTTGGACTCAGCGTGTGTTTCAGACGGGTGTCCAATTAGAAGAGCCTCCACTCTGAACTGTGCTCGCCTAATTAGAAAAGACGGGGTGAGGGAGCGCGTCTCAGGGGGAGCCGGCCCACGAGCTGAACTCCGAGGACAGGCAGTCTTGGCCGACAAGCGCTGTTGGCCTCCCCCCACCCCCCCCCCTCTACGCTCTGAGACAGGTTCTGCCACTGGAAGCTTAGAGAGAGGGCCCTTCTCTTCTTTCTGCTGCCTCCCTGCACGGTTATCACACCTTATCCAGCATTTCAAACACTCGGCACTCAAATCACAGCACTTCATACTGAACCGTGGTGGCCCTGGGTTTTACCGATACAAGAACATGACGTTCTACCAAGAGTGGATTAGTTCCTCATGCGACATGAAGGGGGGGGGGGGGGGGTATGCATAGGAATGAATCATAAAGGTTTAAGGCTGGGGAAAATGTATCCATGAATCCAGATTCTTAAGATTCTGAATTGATTCACTTTTTTAAAACTCTTTGTTTTTCTACAAGTATATGTATATCAATAAGACAGGCATCCTTTACAAAATTACACCAACATGTTTATTTTCCTTTTTTTATTTTTATTTCATCTAATTTTCTTTTATTTGACAAGAATAAAAGGCAGCTAGACTAAGCTTACTATATTTATTTAATGATTATGTGTAATATAGGCAGCATTTTAAACCTTTATTTGTAAAACTTGAACTTGGATATGGATATCATTGAGTATTGATATATCCTTAAAACGTAATGCCAGTGTTGTAGTCAAGTCACCAATTCACGAGTCCAAGTCTCTCTCGAGTCACCACTTTTCGAGTCCGAGTCCAAGTCCGAGTCACCAAGGGAGAGTCGTAGTCGAGTCCCAGTCCAAGTCATCCTTACCTGTGTTCGAGTCCGAGTCCGAGTCACCCAAGGAATGTCCGAGTCGAGTCCGAGTCATCAATACCTATGTTCGAGTCCGAGTCCAAGTCCGAGTCACCTAAGAAGAGTCCAAGTCAAGTCCGAGTCACAAGTCTTCATTAAGTATTAACCTTCGTGGATATATGTGTTGAAATGTAGCTGCTCCTCTACATTGCTTTTATCCTGTCATGTTATACTAATCGTCTATTGAACTGCTGTGAAGCGAGTTTGGCTACAATTCTTGTAATAGGTGCTATACAAATATAAAGCTTATTACTAATATTAATATTATTGTAAATGACCTTTAATATGTCTAACTATATTTAGAATGAGTTACCTTTTAGAGAAGTGATTATATTTGTATGCCAATATTTTCCTATGGTTACGTTTTCGTTTTGCTCTTTTATTTTGATAGTAATAAGGTCGGGACTCTTATTTTGAAGGAACTTTTACGGTTAAATCGTTTACTGATAAAGATTTAGCCCCAGAAAGCACATGGCTACTTAGCATGCAAAATGACATCATTCTGAATGTTAAGTAGCCATGTGCTTTCGTGTTATCAGCTGAATCTTTATTTATTAATTAGATCATGTTACTCTGATGATAGTGTTCAAGACAGCCTGTCTGAACTCGATCCTTAAAGTAATGTGTTACGGAGCCTTCTCTTCAATATTGTTTCCACATAACGAGCATTTTGCGCTGCTCTTTTCCAATGTGGAAGCAGAATGTGTGAAAGCATACAGCACGATGCGGGGTGTGTCTCTAGACATCTCTAGACTGGAATAGCGGGGTCCAGTCCGTGAACTCGCCTCACAGGTGCACATGCCAGGATAGAGGACATCAGACTCCAGAGAAAACTTGCTCGAGTCCAAGTCCAAGTCAGAGCGTCAATGTACAAGTCGAGTCCGAGTCATAGTGGGGGAAAAATTAGAGTCCAAGTCAGCATACACAAGAATTCACGAGTCCAAGTCCGAGTCGCGTCAATCAGTGCGCGAGTCCGAGTCGAGTCACGAGTCCCAAAAATCGGCACTCGAGTACTCCATCTCTAATGCCATAATTGACCACAGCCCTATTAGCAAACATCGGACTAAAGTAGATCCTGAGATTAACAACACTTTGTATTGAATCTACAAATGTATTTTGAATCGGGAACTGTGTTCAGTCGAATCACTAGGCCACCAGGGTGGGTGGAGGGGGTCAGGAGGACGGGACTGAGCTGACCGCCCAGAGGCACAGCAGAGGACCAGGAAGGGATCTCGGGCGGATGGCCCGGGGGCAAGGCAGAGTTCAAAAAGGGGGATTCGGGCGGACGAGCATGAGGGTGAAGGCACCGGCAGGAAGAGTCAGGGGGCCGGGCTCGAGGACGAGGGCAGCGGCAGGAAGAGTCAGGGGGCCGGGATCGCGGGCGAAGACCACGGCTCACAGAGGGCCGGGATCGAGGGCGAAGACCGCGGCTCTCAGGGGGCCGGGCTCGAGGGCGAAGACCAGAGAGCTCCGGAGGCCGGGCAGGAAGGCGCTGACGGGCCAGCGCCGGAGGCCGGGCAGGACCCGGTGTCGGCCGGACAGGAACCGGAGCTGGTGGGACAGGCCTCGGCAGGATCCCCCACGGAAGAGGATGGCGGGGCCTCCAACGGAACAGGACAAGGGGTTGGTAGGACCCCCGGCAGGAGAGTAGTCGGTGGGGCCTCCAATGGCACAGGACAAAGGGTTGGCAGGACACCCGGCAGGAGAGTAGTCGGCGGGGCCTCCAACGGCACAGGACAAAGGGTTGGCAGGACCCCCGGCAGGAGAGTAGACGGCGGGACCTCCAACGAGACAGGACAAAGGGTTGGCAGGACCCCCGGCAGGAGAGTCGACGGCGGGACCTTCAACGGGACAGGACAAAGGGTTGGCAGGACCCCCGGCAGGAGAGTAGTCGGCGGGGCCTCCAACGGCACAGGACAAAGGGTTGGCAGGACCCCCGGCAGGAGAGTAGTCGGCGGGGCCTCCAACGGCACAGGACAAAGGATTGGCAGGACCCCCGGCAGGAGAGTAGTCGACGGGACCTCCAACGAGACAGGGACAAGGAGCTGGCAGGACCCCCGGCAGGAGAGTAGACGGCGGGACCTCCAACGGGACAGACATACGATTGGTAGGACCCCCGGCAGAGGAGTAGTCGACGGGGCCTCCAACGGGACAGGACATGGAGTTGGCAGGACCCCCAGCGGAACCTCCAACGGACCAGGACATTGGGTAGGGACTTGAGACGTGACTCGAGAGGAGACTCGAGAGGGGAACCAAGGGGGAACTCGAGAGGGGACTAGAGGAGAGACTAGAGGAGGGACTAGAAGAGGGACTAGAAGAGGAACTAGAGAAGGGAACTCGAGAGGGGACTCACGAGGGGAACTAGAGGAGGGACTAGAGAGGGGACTAAAGGAGGGACTAGAGAGGGGACTAAAGGAGGGACTAGAGGAGAGACTAAAGGAGGGACTAGAGGAGGGACTAAAGGAGGGAACTCGAGAGGGGACTCGAGAGGGGACTCGAGTAGGAACTTGAGGGGACTCGAGAGGTGACTCGAGAGGTGACTAGAGAAGGGACTCGAGAGGGGACCTGAGAGGGAACTGGAGAGGAGACTTGAGAGGGAACTGGAGAGGAGACTTGAGAGGGGACTCGAGAGGGGACTCGAGAGGGGACCCGAGAGGGAACTCGAGAGGGAACTCGGGTAGGAACTGGAGAGGGGACTCGGGTAGGAACTTGAGAGGGGACTCGAGAGGGAACTTGTGTCGGTCGGTACGCCGACAGGACACGGGGAGCTGGCGTCGTCTGGGGAGCCAGCCGGAGACGAGGTGCTGGAGTCGGCCGGTACGCCGACAAGACTCGGGGAGCTGGCGTCGGCTGGGGAGCCAGCAGGAGACGAGGTGCTGGAGTCGGCCGGTACGCCGACAAGACTCGGGGAGCTGGTGTTGGCCGGAGAGCCAACAGGAGACGAGGTGCTGGAATCGGCCGGTACACCGACAAGACTCGGGGAGCTGGCGTCGGCTGGGGAGCCAGCAGGAGACGAGGTGCTGGAGTCGGGACCATGACTGCTGGAGCCGGTACTTGAGCCGGAGCCATGGCTGGAACTGGGGCCGGAACCATGGCTGCTGGGCCCGGTACTTGAGCCAGAATCATGGCTGGAACTGGGGCAGGAACCATGGATGTATGGGCCAGCTCTGGTGCAGGGACCACGGTTGTAAGATCCAGTTCTGGAGCCGGAAACATGGCTGTAAAGTCCGGAGCTGAAGCCTGGATCATGGCTGTGTGAGCCGGTTTTGGAGCCGGAAACATGGCTGCTGGGGCCGGCACTGGAGCCGGAACCATGGCTGCTGGGCAAGGAACCGGAACACGGATCCATGGCTGTGTGGGGTGGTACTGGAGCACGGTACCATGGCTATGTGGGATGGTACTGGAGCACGGAACCATGGCTGCTGGGTCCGGCACTGGAGCCGGAACCATGGCTGTTGGGGCTTGTACTGGAGCCGGTACCATGGCTGCTGGGGCTCGGGCTGCTAGCCTGGCCTTGCGACGACTCCTCTTAGCAGCCTCCTGAATACTCCGTGGACCTCCATAAGCCTGACGAGTTCCGGAATACGACTCCTGGACAGGAGCAGGAACTGGGGCAGAAGCACGGGTTGACTTCAGGCGGAACCCACCAAGGCGTATGGTGCCAGGTTGGGAATTGGGAGACAGGGAGCTAGCATGCCTGGAATCACATGCTTGAAGGAAGTCCAAAATCCAGTCAGGTAAAAACTCAACAAAACATGGTTTCTCTGCTGCCAACCGGAGCGCCTCTACCAGAGCGGCCCTCTTCTGCCGAACACTGGACGCTCCCTTCCACCAATCGAAGCAGCAAGCCAGATAGAAGGTTAAATGCTGTAATTCAACCTCCCATGGATCATCTGCTGGGTCCATTTTGTGGTCGGTTTGTTCTGTCACGGTAGAGCGAAGGAAGCAGGACCCAAATGCAGATTAAACTGATAATACCTTTATTTCAAGGATAATGAAATAGAACTTGGACAGACAGAACACTCACCGGTGAACACAGTCAACAAGAACTTAAATACACACAAGACTAATCACAGAAACAAGACACAGGTGAGGAGGGAGGAGAAAACACAGGGACACCAGGTGAACACAATCGGGTAAATTAGACACACCAGGGAAACTAACGACCGGGAACCACAGACAGATTTAAACAAGACACAACGCAGACAGAAACAGGCAAGACAGGAAGTGAAGACCTTTCAACATAAAACATGAAACAAGACAAGACAAAACACCATAAAGGCAGATCGTGACAGTAACCTTAAGAATTGTCACTACCGAACACATATTATCTTCAATTAAGTAAACTTTTTCAGGGTTTTATGCAAAGTATTAGGTTTTACTACTTTGTACTTGCTAGCATTCTTTAGTTATGCTCAATTTTTGCTAGAATTGTCACTACCGAAACATATGGTTACGTTTCGGTAACTGACATGATCGTTTCGGTAGTGACAAAATGGAATGGTAAGCAGGTAAATCCCACCATTTTGAAATAAATGTGTTTTTAAAGTCTGAAAATCAGTGTGTTACTTTAAAGGTATCTTATTATACTATTGTTAGGCATATATTATAGGTCTCAGATATATAAAAAACATGTCTATGAAGTGTTTTGCTAAAAAATACCAAACAGATCACCCATTCTAGCCACATTCCCCTCTATTTCAGCCTGTTACTAAAGTGCTGATTCTGGGTCAGTAGCTTCAAACCTTCACACTTCAACATGAGGCATGTTATTAGTTAAGATTAAGCAATAAGGTTGAGGGAATATGATACAACCTTGAGAACAAAATACTGTGGTCACTACCGAAACACTGGATGTTTTGTAAAAAAATAAGTATATTGAGTTATCAACTAAAATGATATGATACTGATTGGTTTAATGTATGTTCAATTTCAACAATCATCAACTCTGGATTCAATATGATCAGTATTATGCATTTTACAAAGAAAGTTTGCATTATGATTTATATGAATTGTATAAATTGAACTTTGAAATTTGATTGTGAAAACCCTCAAGAAATATTTGTTAAAATACTATTTAGAGAAGGGAAGGTAAACAATCTTAAAGATCAAATGCAAAGCTTTTTGTATAATTGCCAGTACAATCGAAATCATATAGCTACAACACTATCTAAGATATTGCAGTATTAAAATCGGAGATAATATGAGTCTGGCAATGCGCAATATTAATTTTGTTCAACCCCCAACACCAAGTTTGACGATTTATTTTCTCCGCCGCTCCTCCGCAAGATGGCGGCGCGTGACGTCAGATGTGCCAAACATATTTCCACCTGGCTTATCAATCACAGCGGCTTCCGCCGATAGTACAACTAGTTTCGTCTATCATGTCTGATTCTGAGTAGACTATAGACTAAAAGCTTTAGGAATCCAAACTATAACATATAATAAGTACCCTGTATCAAGATTGATGCAAAACAAGTTAAATTTTACCTTTTTAGAGAGGTTTAGAAAAATAAAGTCCAGGCGGACTCACCTCACAAGGACGAGGTGGATGGGAATTTGTTCAATGCCTAACATATTTCCACCCGGCTTATCATGTCTGATTCTGAGTCGGAGGCCACCCAATATCTGGAGTATGTTGTCGACATCCAACCCTATCTCTACGAGCCTCTGATGTCGAAGAGGAAATACTATAATCACTCCTAGTTCCCTTATTACTTATCCTAGCTCCACATCCAACACATTGTTTATGATCGTAAAGACACATAATCTAACGGTGCCCACCTCTATAAGCAATAAAACTTAATAAAACTGCAATTCCGTTATCTGCGTTATCTGCTGTGCTCCGTGCGCTTTGAAATCTAATCAAAAGTTGTTTACCTCAATTCTTTGTCGTTTCTCCATCGCCCGGCTCTTTCGTTCTTTCAGTGGTTTCTTGTGCTGAAATATGGAGGGGACGGCTCCGGGTTTCAGCCTCCGACATACTATTAACGCTTCTGCACCAACAGACTTGATGATAGCAGGATCAACCTCGTATGCATCACACGCGAAGTGATCAGAACACAACCTGCTCCATTTTGTCGGTTGCCATCCAACACGATTCACTAACTAAATCCATTTTTTGCGGATGATTTGGTCTTTGGGAAATACATGAAAAACTCTCCCAGATCCCGCACCGTTCGTACAACAAAAAGCACAACAATAACCCATGTTAATTCAGTTTTCTTGTCGAAAAACTTGTGACCGAGACTGCCGAGTCGGGATGTTTGGTCCAGACTGTTTGGCATGTATGACGTCACGCGCGCGGAGGCTGCTGGGAAGGTCATGTCAGAAATTCAGACGGCTTTGGGTCAAGTTTTGTATCAATAAAAAGCTTTTTTTCGGGTGTATTATCTCGATTTAAATTTTTTTTTAAATACGGGCAGTCTTAAAAACAACATTTCTATAAAAATGTAGCATATTTGGAAGCTTTGCATTTGATCTTTAACAGGTTAATATAATGCTTTTTTACTACAGTGTATGTACTATGTTTCGGTAGTGACCATTTTTGGTAGAGGAAGAACATTCCAATACAGTCTGAAAATACGATATAAAAATGTACGGTTCTTTTACTAGATATATGTAATTTAGATATGGTACAAAATATATATGGACAAAGTTTTGGGAAAAAAACAAACATTTCAAAACATTTCCAATCTGACTTTGGTCCAATTCGGTAGAATGGCCCATATAGGGTTTTGCTTTTCATATAGAACAATTACTTATTGATGAACAGTGGTGTTCTGCTTGTGAAGACAAGTTGTGGTTATGTTTATGATCATGTTAATGTAGTCATCTGCACACCTTGTAATGCTTTTACATGTTCCCCTGCCCTTTCCTCAGGATTTGTTCGGGCTTTTGTGCAGAAGGATTTTATAAATAAATAGGATTACATTCTTTTCATATTCCTGTACATGTATTACTTCCTTTTGCTGCCTTCTTATAGAGATATTAAAACATTTATATCACCATAGAGGGTGTAAGCACTGCATAGGGAACATGAAAAAAGCCTCACTTGTGTGTTTTTCTTATCCGCCTGCCCACCTTCTTCAACACCTGTGTGTGTGTGTGTGTGTGTGTGTGTGTGTGTGTGTGTGTGTGTGTGGTGTGTGTGTGGTGTGTGTGTGTGTGTGTGTGTGTGTGTGTGTGTGTGTGTGTGTGTGTGTTGTGTGTGTGTGTGTGTGTGCAGCGATCCCCAAGGCGCCTCGCAACGTTATATCCAGCGTGAATGAGACCTCGTTGTCCTTGGAGTGGGAGGAACCTGAGGACACGGGCGGGAGGAGTGACCTGGTCTATAACGTGGTCTGCAAGAAGTGCCTGAGGGACCGCAGCCCCTGCACGCGCTGCGACGACAACGTGGACATCGCCCCCCGCCGGCTGGGGCTCAGGCAGAGGAAGGTGGTGGTGAGGAACCTGCAGGCCCACACCCGCTACAGCTTCGAGGTGCAGGCTGTCAACGGGGTCTCTGGGAAGAACCCCATCCCACCCGTCTACTCCACGGTCAACATCACCACCAACCAAGCGGGTATGTACTTTTTATCAGTTTTTTTGTTTCATTTAGCTTTTATCCTTGCAACTTACAATAACTGCAATTAAGATACAACAGCAAGAATCCTGCAAGTACATTAGATTTCAACAAGCCAAACCATTGTAAGAGTTAGTTCATTGGCTCCAAATAAGCCAAACCATTTTAAGGTGCTACATACAGAATTTTGAATGTTTTTTTATTGGCCATGATGCAGTGGAAACAGATGAGTGTTTAGTCTGCGGCAGAAGATGTGTAGACTTTTTGCTATCCTGGTCAACATTTATGTATAAAGAAAGCTGGACACTTCATTGGGTCCTCCTTCTTTCCTGAGAGTTGCTCAGAGGCGCATGAATGCAAAATGGCCTGACTCTCAAGAGCATGAGCACTTTCGTTTTTCCTAAGCCCCGCCTCTAGTCCTCTCTGTCACGGCCCGCCGCAGTCAGTCACATGATGGAGAGGTAAAAATAACTCAGTATTTTACAACGTTCAAACCCCAAAGATTTAAAAAAGGGATATTCCGGTGAATGTAATTGATAGTTAATTTAGTATATAAGGAAAAGTATATTTAGGACCAATGAGGTCACGGACTGACACTGAAGTACTACTTTAAAGGTCCACTATTATACTGTTTTTCAACAATATATTATAGGTTTCAGATATATACAGAACATGTCTCTGAAGTGTTTGGCTGGAATGACCAAACAGATCACCCATTGTAGCATCTCATAAACCCCTCTGTTTCAGCCCTGTTCCAAAAGTGCTGATTATGTGTCTGTAGCTTTAAATGCTAATGAGTTGCTGCTGGCCACGCCCCTCTGAGAGATAATTAGTTTGAAAAAAGACAGTGGTGCTCTAGGAAAAGATTCAGATGATAAGGTGGGGGGGTGTTACCTTGGTTGGTTATTGGCCAATAGTTGCACAATCCAAAAAAACATTGTGACATCACAAAGTGACCAAAATCTTTTCTTGTGAAACTTTCCAAGTCTCTTAACACAAAGGAGACACATATTTACAGATAAAAGACTTGAAAAAGTGGATTTTGCATAATAGGTGACCTTTAAAGCAGATGTGTATCTCTGAATACTTTTGGGCTGAAACGGTGGAATCGTTTATCGAACAACATAAAGGGCCGTATGAACAACAAAAGTAAAGTATTGGCAGCTGGGATTGAGTAAAGGGCAGGTAAAATAAGACGTTCTTCTTACTACTCATTTCCATCACACGTTATATGAACTGCTCAAATAAAAAAAGAATTGTGAATTGTTTTCCATTGGTGGAACAAAAGTTGTTGTATCACCGTTTGGCCACTATAAATGTTTTTCTCCACCGCTCAGTGCATTTCCTGGGCTCGTTCCACCATTTTGGAGTGGCCAGCCGGTTGACTGAACCCTACTAACATGTAGGAAGGACCGGATCCATTCCCAGTACAATAGGCCAGTACCAGTGTCCTAAAGTGTATTCAGGCAGCTACTAGTAACCGGTGAAGAGATTGGATATTCTTAGTAGAAGGAGATCTATCAATGCCATTGGATGTGTGCACTAGGGCTGTGCGATTAATCGTATTTTTATCGCGATTACGATGATGGCATAATTGACAAAATACGATTATATTGCTGGGTGCGCTTTCGCCCCTCCCTAAAAGCCCACTTGGCCACGTGGGAGTGACATGTGTTGGGAGTGTTCAGCGCGAGCGAAGATGTGAGAACAAGAGCAGCAACTCGTTAAAAAGAAGGGTAAAACTATTTCCACTATTTGGAAGTACTTTGGCTTTCAGGAGTCCGACGTGGAGCAAAACAAAGTACAGTGCAGGATTTGTTACCAGGTTGTGTTGGCACCACACGCTAACACAACCAATCTCTTTAATCATCTGAAATACAACCACAAAGTGCAATACGACCGGGCAATAATACAACAAAAAGCAGACCAAAAAGCAGATGCCCGCTCGACTTCATCCACCACATCATCACAGTCATCGATTCAGGACGCATTGTACAGAGCGACGGCCTACGCGACGAGCTCGCAGAGACACAGAGATATTACAGGTGCCATTAAATTTCACATCGCTAAAGATATGTGCCCAGTTAGCACTGTTAGCAACCAGGGCTTTAAGCAACTTGTCAACACGTTGGACAAGCGTTACACGATGCCGTCTCGGTATTATTTCAGCAGGTCTGCGCTGCCTGCGTTATATGACAAATGCCATGGGGAAGTTGAGAGAGATGTGGCTTCAGCTGACTACTTTGCGACCACAACGGACCTATGGTCTAGCCCAGGGGTGCCCAACCAGTCGATCGATCGCGGGGAGATTCCCAGTCGATCGCGAGATGTGTCTAAAAATAGAACAACAATATTCTGTTTTATCGTTAATGTCCTGTAACATAATCTTCCTGTGCCAGAATAATGCACTTGAACGCATCAAAGCTTTGTGATTGGCCGGCGTGACCCCATGTGTCGGGGCGTGGCTGGTGGGCAGTGGGCACTAGTTCGCTGATGTTGTCCGTGTCAACCTTATTATACATCCATGGTGTCAACAGGAGTGACAGTCCGCACACACACAAGACCGCAATTAGAAATTAATAATTAATTAGGCAGAAGCAAAAAAGCCCAAAATATATCATTTTCACTCCGAGTGGGAGGATGATTATTTTTGTATCTATTCCAATTCAAAGTCCATCTGTCTCATCTGCAATGCGAGTGTGGCTTTATCGAAGAAGGGAAATTTAGGAGCGGCATTTCAAAACAGTGCACAAACGCTACAAGACGGAATTCCCTGCTAAATGCACAGCAGTCCATTTTCACCAGGCCCAACAACAAGAGCAAGGCTGCTACCATTCTTTCACACAGTGACGTCACGAGCTACCCACAATGCAACACGCGCCATATATATATATATAAATACGCCATTTTCATGGAGGTGCAACTATCCTGGAGGTGCTAATATAAACAGCTAGGTAATGTATCCAGGCAGAGCGCACTAGGTTTTTTTTCTGAATTAACGACCGAAGAAATCGCTGCATGTCTTCGGATTACATCTCTGGACTTGAGGGGTGTGCTCTAGGTCATTACCAGCGTAAACTAGAGCTGTGTGGGTTGTCGGATTGCCCTTACAGACTGCGTCGATTTTGGCAGCATCTATGTCTAATAGCTGGAAACACCAGGTGAATACCCCACTGGTCACAATAATATTATCATGCCATTGCATATATGTGGTATTTTAGAGTTGACTAGATATTGATTAAGGCAATAGACTATGATATTCAGTACAGGAAGCTTAGCAACACCTGGACGGTGTACGGATAAACCCTTGGCCTGCTTGCACCTCGCGTAAAACGGCGGATACCGGAAGTACGGTGTCGCCCTCGGCCCAATACCCGTATGTGTGTGTGAAAGAATAGCATCTTATCGTGTCAGTCACGTTCTTGCGAAACACTTGAAGTCTTTCAAAGCCGGCAAAGTTGTGAAAGAAGCATTCCTGGAGGCTGCCAACGCGCTTTTGGGGGACAGTAAAAATAACAGAAGCATTTCAACAGGTTTTTGATATAATAAAAACTCAAGGTAGATACTGTTATTAATCAGCTGTAAGTTTTAGTTTGTTTGAACTTATTCATTATAATTATTGTACAAAATGGTATAAGAATGCAAACATTAAGATCTGTTCTGTTTAAATTGATTATAGTCTATTATCAATTCAGGTTAAGAAACTAGTGTTGCTTGCATCCTATTTTAAAGGCATTTATTTTTATACTCTAATAAAATGCAACAAAAAAAGGGATTTGATTCTATTCATTGTGTCTTTTTTATTGCACTTTGGCTGCAGATTCCTGTGTAGCTTCAGATCTGAGTTGTCTTATTAGTAAGCCTAATTTATACTTTTGTAGCAACACTATTTTTATATAATGGCAAATAAAGGGTTCAGAGTCTTTTCTTTTTTTCCTGTGTCATATGTGGCAGCACTGCCACAAGTTCCTCTTCAGAGAGGGTCTTCAGTACAGGTGGCAATATTGTAACCTGCCTGCGCTCATCTCTGAAACCAGACCATGTAAACAGGCTGGTGTTTATTGCAAAACATCTTTAAGAGATGACATGAGCAGCCCTACCAGCATTTGCCATGGTGGCCAAACATTTTTAATTTGGTCATAAATTGTAGTTCAACATTTATTTCCTGTTACTTCTGGACCATGACGGTTGGCCAGCCTTCAACGTTTAACTGAGTGGAATATGTTGAATATGTTTTACCAAAATGTTGGAGTTGCAGTGCACTGCAACATATTTGATTTAATTTATTTTGGTCTAATTTATTTTTATTTATCATATTAATATATGTTTAGTATGGTTTTGGAATTGCGCTCCAACATATTTGTTGATCTTGTTTATTGGTAAAATATTATTTGTTTTAAAGTTCAATAAATGGTCAATGAATAATCGTCAAAATAATCGTGATATCAATTATTGACCCAAATAATCGTGATTATGATTTTTGCCATAATCGCACAGCCCTAGTGTGCACGGACCAAGTTAATACATAGAGATGCTCCGATCAATACCACTTAACATATCAATGAAACGGGCGGGTTAGTGGGTCCAGCGTTCAGTCGATGTCAATGAGTGTCCTAATGAGTATCCAGACCCGTATTAACACCAGCAATAAACATTGAGAGGTAGAGATGGAAAACTGTCCAATGCAGCACTTTTTGAGAGAGTGAGAGGAAAGGCAGGTAAAGAGTTAACATATATTTAATATCTCCACTGGCAGCATTCAGCAGTCTGTCAGGCAGGCGTCTAACGTTACATCACTGACAATGTCACCTTTCAACATCTCCACTTAATATTTGCAGCGTCATCATCAACCAAACTGCTCAGCACCTTTCACAGACTGTAATTACTCTCCCAGTTAACCTGCACTTAATCCACCCTGCTGCAGTTTATGGAGCCAGGACAATGACTGTCAATTGAGTCAATTTCAAGCCTCACAAATCAATAATCTGCAGAACAGTGAAGGTGACACGTGTACCGTTTTTCTTAAACCGTTCAGGTTGGAGTATTTCGAATAATAATTATCTTACTCTGATGGTTTGTGACTTTGAAAGACAAAAATCTTGGCAACTTAGAAGATGTGATACCCCTAACTCGCAACTGTCCAGTACCTTGAAAACACAATATGTAACAATTATATCAAAAAATGACTAGAACTACGTTATAAGTATTGTTGAGTCATGTACTTACTTTATCGCAGGTTTTCAAAAATTCTCAAAAATAAATCCTTAATTCTAATCAAGGTAACAATCTGTTTCATTTGGTCATATGTTAAGTTATTTATCTGAGCAACTCCTTAGTGACCGCATCAGCATGGGGTTGTCTGACGTACATTGGCATAAATAGATTTTTTATTTTAAGCCACATTGATACTTTGGTCGGTTTTAATGATGTATTTTAACTGGAAGAAGGATTTAAGTCATCAGATGCCTGGATCTTAAGTTATCGTAGCTGAGAAAACGCAGAAGAGAATCTCCATAAAAACCCTGATGGAAAGGGCTTTCTTCAGTGTTTTTATCCGTTTAAATCACCTGGTCGGTTTGATTTGGAGAAGAAGAGTCCTCTGCGGATTATTCAGCTCCAAGTAAAAAAACTCCTGATGGTCTGGATCTTATTTTATCAGAAAAATTAGCTGAGCAATCATTAGTGGCTTCTGGGCTTGCAGCCTCTTGAAGACATCTATTTTCTGCCGGTTTGAGAAACACTGATTTCTAGCACTGAACTGCTTTATCAGTGTTTTTCCCATTTTAATCACTTGGTTTGTTTTGGAGACCAAGAGACCTCTGCAGACAATATGGCTTTCGGTTAGAACTTCCTTTACAATGAGAAATAAAGGAATCCAAACCGGGAGAAGCTGATTGGAATGACAAACTGCCACGATTCCACACTATTCCACTCAACTCTGTCTTTTTGTGTCTCGGCAGAATTTTGTACGCTTAATCTGTATTGTTAACCGTGTCTTCTCTGATGTCCCTCTGCAGCACCTTCAGCAGTCCCCACCGTCCATCTGATGCGCTCCACCTCGGACACTCTCAGCCTTTCGTGGCTGCCCCCTGAGAAACCCAACGGAGTCATCCTCGACTACGAGATTAAATACCATGAAAGGGTAAGGTTTGACTTTTTACCCACTGCCTTAATGTAGGCCACAGTGCCCGCCCTATTGACTCTAAAACATCTTATTTTTCCGCCTTGTGCAGAGAGAAGCATTCTTTATCAATGCTGAAAAATGTTATATTGAAATGCGATGTGTGTGGGGGGGGACTGGTAGATTCTAAAAATGTCTATTGGTAGTATGGACTCAGCAACTGGTGATGTAAGTGCTGCAACATTGCTATTGATTAAATTATCTGGTGAAGTGCTGCAGATATTATATGGCCATTTTATAACTGTTGATGGTAAAGACCTTGCAGGGTGTTTGGACTGAAAACAGCACTGCATTAAAAATATTGCTAGGGTCTGCTTGGCATCACCGAGGTCAGTTTTAGTAAGTGATCCATTTCTTTGAAGGCTTTATAGGCGGGAAAGATGCATTTACATATATAGGCCTACAGTATTTGATTAGCTAGCTCAGTGCTTTGCAGATTGAATTCAATTGCAGCAAAAGTTGAGCCACAGTTTAACTTGTTGCTGGACAACCATGCATTTAGAATTTGAGAATGTAATGAACGATAATCAAGTAATAGCAAGCTTTTCCACAGGTGAAAATTACAGGATAAAATAATAATAAATATTAACTATTGTTCAAATAGAGCGCAATAACGTTAGCTAGCAAAAGCTAACATTAGCAACCGGAGATTTGGTTCGTTCTATACAAAAAAAAAGCTCAAGCAGCAAAACTTCTCAGTCTGAAATAAACAATAATGTGTTCACCGCTCATGAAATCAACTTTAATTTGTAAGATGAACATTGTGTTTTAAAATCTAAATAGTATTACTACATAATGCTAACTACGAACTTAAATATAGATTCCTCATCTACGAGCCCTTCGAAAATCATCACAACACCTAACTGGTCTGTTCTTTGACTCCAGGGCCAGGCGATGTCCCACACTGTAACATCCCAGCACAGCTCTGCCAAGGTGGAGGGGCTGAGGGCCGGCTCGCCCTACGTGGTGCAGGTCAGAGCTCGCACTGTTGCCGGATACGGACGCTACAGCAACCCCATGGACTTCAGCACGAGCCTTCACAGTACGGACACTATCTCTCATAAAGGGCTGTTTACACCAGGAACGATGATAAATAAGAGAAGTGTTTATTAAGAGCTAAATTGCCTCGTTTAAGCATAACTCTGAATATGTATGTGAGTCAAGTAAAAGTTCAATAATACCAATGGCAACCTCTTTTATCTCCAATGTGTTTATCTAACTCTTTTATTCTTTGTTTCAAATTTGAACTTTTCCCAGCAGATTTTGGAAATAGCTGGCTTCATGTGGAATTAGCAAATTAGCTAACATGCTATTTCACTAAATTCCGTTGCTTGTCTATGCTGATCGATTTATGAATGGATTTTTTTTTTTAATGTGAATTTGACAACATTATAAGCACACCACACTGCGGAAAATTATGCTAACAGTCGTGCCAAGCTATGCACTTTAGCCCCAAGCTACGTGCTTAAGCCCCAAGCTTCCAACAGCTAAAGCTAGTGGATATACCATTTATATTGTTCAGTACTGTGGTTGTGGGATGGTCTCTGCCGTCCACTTGATTGAGAGTTATTTTCTTATTTATTTTAATGCATTTTGGCTATTTTTAAAGTTATCGTTCTTGGTGTGGACAGCAGTCTGTTCTTGATGTCTGCTGCTACAACTTCCTTAATAAGGGTTCTGGCTTAGTAGTTTTTATGGTGGCCATTACACTTGTGGAACAGGCCGCCCTTTAATCTTTTTAGTGTTCTTGGTGGTATTTACTCATTTGTGTGTGTGTGCGTTAATGCTCCAGGCGACCCTCAGAAGTCGGTGCAGGACCAGCTGCCTCTCATCGTCGGCTCGGCCTCCGCGGGTCTGGTGGTCATTGTTGCGTTGGTGGTCATTGCTGTGGTCTGCCTTAAGTAAGTGTTTGATGTTTTACTACTCAACTACATGTTTCATTTGATTAGACACTGAACAAAGAGGCTCTTAAACTTTAACATGCTTTCAAAAAGAGCTCTGCCAGAGAAAAAAAAATGGAGAGTCTCTTCCTGGCAGTCTGAGATTTCATCTGATGGTCAAGTTAGATATTAGTTTAATTTGCTGTAAATAGACAGGGTCTAGACTGATGAATGTGAATGTGACTTTTGTTTGTGTGTTGCTTGTTTACAGGAAGCAGCGCAGCGGCTCGGAGCTGGAGTACACGGAGAAACTGCAGCAATACAGTGAGTCCATGTGTTCAGCTCTTCTGGTGATGCCAGTACAGTAAACCAACTGATTCAATCAATTATCTAATCACCTGATTGAGTCAGAGAAACATTTTACAATTTTCACAGAGGAAGTCCAGACCATGTTGTCTTCCTGATTACTGTCACGCACTACTTTGTATTATGTGAACTTTATTAGACATGTTGTTTGGACATGGGAGTGGAATCTGTCCTGTAACCTGACTCTCAGCAGGAATGCAAATTCTTACCAAAAATGTCAAATGAAAACTTATAAATAAGAAAAAATATATATAAATAAATACAAAAATATGATTAAACCAAAAATATATTCAAAAAACGACTGCTACAGATAATTGACCGATATTAGATGAGCAAAAATCGGCAACTTCATTGATAATTGGTAAATCGTGGTTACATATCATAACAAACATCTTTAATAAGGAAATCGTTGGTTTCTAGACTGACAGAAAAATACCAGCTTTTTGTACCTGCAATGGACATTTTTTCATTATTTTGTGACATTTGATACACAAGCGACAATTCGATCAATCAAGCAAATAACAGGCTAATATTGTTTTTCTACATTTGCCATGTTGTTTTCTTTGTCTAGATGATAACATTTCTCATCAATTTTTTTCCCTCTCAGTTTCTCCGGGTGTCAAAGTCTACATCGACCCGTTCACCTACGAGGACCCCAACGACGCCATCCACGAGTTCGCCAAAGAGATAGACATCTCCTGCGTGAAAATAGAAGAAGTCATCGGTGCAGGTACACCTACGCCGCTTGTTTTTGTCCGATAAGCTGGGAAAGGTCTCAGGTTTATGAATCATTTATCTGAGCAGGAGTGTGCCATAGAGCATCGAGGTCTGTTCTCTAAGAGAGTCCTCTCTGGGAGAAGGGTTAGGATTCAAAGAGTGCATGAGAGCTGCTGGTGGGAAGGATTGAAGTAAAAGTCTCCTCTGAAGCTCTTCCCCCTCTAGTCTGTGTTTTTTTTCTTTCTCTCCAGCGGCATGTTGTGTCCTTACATCACCTCAAATGACAGTCTGCTCCTGCTCGTTCAATCTTCCTCCTTTTTTTCTTTCTTTCTCTTTTTCTCTCCCCTTATAAACACTCAAAGACACCATCCGCAAAACACCCAAGTTCCTGGTCCGTCCCCTGTCTCCCTCCACCGCTCCCAGGTTCCACTCTCACTCGATATGGGCCACTCCCTCTCTCCCCAACATCTTTGATCCCGGAGCCCCCGGCCTCTCCTCTTCTCTTTTCTAATACCTCTCCCGCAGTTCAAGCCGACCCTCAACTCTTTAAAAAATCAGCTCCTTCACTCCCGAATCCGACCAGTAACGTTCCCTCTCCCCGCACTTTTCCCCACCCCCAACTTCCTCTTTCCGTCAACCCTTCCTCTGACCACTCAACCCCTCTCCCCCTCCATCACCCTCACCCCCCCACCTTGTTCTCTCAAACCCAGGTGAATTTGGCGAGGTGTGTCGCGGACGTCTGAAGCAGGCGGGTCGCAGGGAGATGGTGGTGGCCATTAAGACGCTGAAAGCTGGCTACACCGAGCGGCAGAGGCGGGACTTCCTGGGCGAGGCCTCCATCATGGGCCAATTCGACCACCCCAACGTGATCCGGCTGGAGGGGGTCCTGACACGGAGCTGCCCCGTCCTCATCATCACAGAGTTCATGGAGAACGGAGCGCTCGACTCCTTCCTCAGGGTGAGCGTCACAACACCTCCGACAGAGAACATTACTTTGTGTTCCTATCAAAGCGGAGAGGAGCACACACACAGAAAGTCCCTCACGACACCTCTGCGTTATCAGAATGTTTTACTCTCTTTTTAAACACCCCGAGGCGTTTACTTGCCGACTGATAGAGATTAAATGCGCAATATACCGCCTGGAGACAAGCATGGTGTCTTTGCCTTGACGTGACTGAGTGATGCTGACAGGAGCTCCAATGCACAAACTCCTGGTGGATAAACGCCACACGGCAGACCTTTGGATACGTTTGCTTCAGTGTATTTGAGTCTTTGTTCAACTACAGAACACATTACTGATCAGAGATTACGGTTCAGACCATCCACCTACACAAAGCGCTGAACAAAGGCAGGATGAGAAATGAGGTGTCACACAGTACATTTAAAGCTGCGTGGGGGCTATTACGTATCATTTACGTTTAATCAAATGTGTTTTTCTGCGTGGCTGCACTGTAAAGAAGTCTACTTACTGTAACAGTTAGGCTGGGTGAGGATATTTAATGCTGCTGGTCCATCGATTGCCAAGCTGCTGGAACAAAAAAGCAGTTTATCTTTAAATGGTGTACGGCTACCGTTTCAATAGATGATGAATCCATGATTTTGATGAGCCTTGACATTGCCTCCTGTCTGGACACAAAAAAGCTTAATGGCAAAATACATACAATACCAGGGCTTGGTATGTTGTCTGATATTTTGTTATACTAATTAGAGCTGCAACAATTAATCGACTAATTGATTAGACAAGTATTTTCATTATCAATGTATCGCTCAAGTAATTTCAAGCAGAACGTCTGAAGATGCTGTTATCGGTCAAGAAAATATCTATAATATGGAGATTTTGTGCTTATTTTTGTTATATAACATATAACCGTGAATATCCTTGGGTATTGGACTGAATAAAGGTATTTAAAGACATATCCATGGATCTTGAATACTGTTTATGAAAATGTTCACTATTCTGACCTTTTTGACTAAAGATTCATTTATTTATTTGGAAAAGGTTCAGCAGATTAATCAATCACTTATTAAAATACTTAAATGTACAAAATATAAAGTAGAAACGGGAGTCATTTGAACGATTTTGGTAAATCCTTTATACAACATACACTTACACGCTAATACAAAAAAACCTATTTAATAACATAACTTTGCCTGAATAAAATGCAGTCTAATATGAGTTAGTTAGTTAAAATACAAACAAAGATTAAGAGACTTCAAAGCTAAATATTACTACTTAACTGCACAGCTCATTCATTCATGCAGATAGAATAGAAATGGTAAAAGGCTATTTTTTTAATGTACAATCCTAGGCTTTCACCAACTAGCGATCCAACTATTGTTGAGCTGGTGGAGGGGCCAACTTTTACTATAGTGTAAGCTGCAACCAAACAACCTACTTACTGTGCCTTTAAATAATGTATACACAAATGTAACTCTAGAATGTGTCAATAGTTTTCTTTTTCCCTCAATTCGTTTTTAGCAACAAAAACATACAGCATATGTTACACTGCTATGTTTTAAATCACAACTGTGGTTTATTGTATTCTCTCACACAAAAATATAAAATGTAACACAAGGGCTGAAAAGAGCCTAAAACATTACTTTTTTTTTCTCAGACTGAGAAAGCTCATTTGCAATCGCTCCAACCATTAATTTCATTTTCAGTTAATCCAACTAATATCTAGCCAAACAGTCAGTTATCAATCATCCTGTTTGTGAGAAGTCATTAAATACATCTGAGAGTCCAGCCTGAGCCTCTTCCTGCTTCTCACCCACTCCTCTCAGTCAGCTGTCCCACAAATAACACAAAGAGTCCGCGGCCTGTGCTGTCCTCCCCCCGCTCCCGCCACTTTCACACTCCTCTGACTCAGACCAGCAACCCTATAGAGTTAACTCACACACAGACACATACACTGTCCATGTGTGACACACACTCTCTACTGCAGCTCCCCAGAGACATGGACACACTCCCGTCTAAACGACATATGCACATGTAGAAACATTACACACACACACACACACACACACACACACACACACACACACACACACACACACACACACACACACACACTTGAAGGCCTGCTATGAATCACGCCTGTTTACACTTCCATCCATTCCGGCTTATTGCTGTCAGACTTCATTGGACTGTGCCGACTACAAAGCAGAATGCTTTTGTCATGTCACGCCTTGTGTTCTGTGCTGTGTAGTCGAAGAAGGGATTGATTAAAAAAACTAAAACATTTATTATCAGGTCATGAAAGCAGTTTGAGCCTCGCCCAATCCATCTTTTTTACATCAGCTGATTGTGTATTGACATTCGATTGATTGGTTTCAATTCACACACATCAGGCTTCCCGTGAGGCTTCTGCACGCTGGAGTTCTGATTTATTACTATGTGGAGTTCATCCCACTGTGTCACGCTTTGCACGCGTGGAGAATTGTAAATTAAACCCTGAAAGCCCCTAATCTCACATTTGTTTCATGCTTCTCAAATGTTAACATAAAAGGGCACAAAAATCCTGCAAAATCAGGCACTTTAAAAACGAGAGAAGGCTTTGAGCGACATGCCATTCTAATTCCGTCGACGGGACGATTTCGCTTTAATGTTCGCAAGCGTGAAAAATGTGAACAAAGCTCCGCGCTAACATCCGTGCGCCTGTACCTGGTTTGTTGCAGAGTGGAAGCAATAACCCCCTGCTGTCGTCTGGTTCTGATTCCAGCTCTGCAGCTCCCTTTCTGTTGTCTGTGTGTCGATATAAACCTTTATGGGTTTAGCAGGACACTAAAGAGTCTAATTAATCAGCTAATTGGACAGCATGCGTGAAAAGGTCAGCTGTCAGTGAGTGTCAGGAGCAGCCGTGAAGCGTTATGACAGATGTCATGTTTATGTGGCCTCAGTGACTGATCGGCTCTCTGGTGCCTTATCCTTATCTCCCCACCCTCCACTTTGCAACACATCCCCATTTTTCTTTCCAATAACCGCATGTTTTCTCTATCTCCCGCTGTGTTCCTGCAGCTGAACGACGGGCGCTTCACCATGACGCAGCTGGTGGGGATGCTGCGTGGCATCGCCGCGGGGATGAAGTACCTGTCGGACATGAACTACGTGCACCGAGACCTGGCCGCCCGCAACATCCTGGTCAACAGCAACCTGGTCTGCAAGGTTTCCGACTTCGGGCTGTCCCGCTTCCTGGACGACACGTCAGCTGACGCCACTTACACCAGCTCCCTGGTGAGGGCTGTGTGTTTGCACACTCTGTTTAATTCAGCTTGTTAATCCCCTACTTGTTTCACACGTGCATAATGGATGCATGTGTGGCTGTTCATGTGTGCCAATATTTGCGTTAGTTGTTTAAAGTCTGTATGGCTTTAAGCTAGAGGTGGGGGAAATACATTCATAGAGGAATGGAATTATCTGCAAAGATTCAGATTACATTTTTTAAATGTTTTTTCCTACAAAAGAAACTTGCTTGAACATAATGCTACTTACAGTTTTGTAAAAAACTAGTATTGTATTATAAAATACATGTTTTGTTTACAATTTAAATTTTTATTAGCCGGTTTCTCAGCAATAAAATGCATCTAGCCTATGAATCGATTCATTGGAGAAAAACATTTTTGATTCATAAGATTCGGAACTGTTTCATTATTTCACCAAAAGCATTTTTGTGTTTACCTTTAAAATAATCTAAATGTAGTTTCTAATGCCATTGCCACAGGCATCCTGCACAAAAATACAGTTCATTATCTTTGAAAAAAGTTAAAAGGTGTTTTAGCTGCCAGCCTTCCAATTGTATTTATGTCAGAGGCAGAATTTTAAAAAAATATTTATACTACGAAAAGAAAATAATTAAAAAACAAATACAAAAAAACGGAGTGTTCAAATCAATCCATATTTAATACAATCTGTAGTTGATGCCATCCCCCTGTGTGTGTGTGTGTGTGTGTATGTGTGTGTGTGTGTGTGTGTGTGTGTGTGTGTGTGTGTGTGTGTGTGTGTGTGTGTGTGTGTGTGTGTGTGTGTGTGTGTGTGTGTGTGTGTGTGCGGTGTGTGTGTGTGTGTGTGTGTGTGTGTGTGTGTAGGGAGGGAAGATTCCTATCCGGTGGACGGCGCCAGAGGCCATCGCCTTCAGGAAGTTCACCTCCGCCAGTGACGTGTGGAGTTACGGCATCGTCATGTGGGAGGTGGTGTCCTATGGGGAGCGGCCATACTGGGACATGAGCAACCAGGATGTAAGTTAGCCAGATAATGTCATGGTGCTAACATGAACCTATAGAAAGTGGGTCAAATACCTGGAGGCAATCGGGAGGATCCTTGAAAATGTTGAGGCTTCCATGTGGTCTCAAGTGTCAATCAACCCCAAAGACTGTATTTCGAACATATTCTAATGAATATTCAGGGAGTTTTATGTTTAAGTTAAGTGCCAGCTGAGAGCTTATTTTAATTTCCAGCGGTACACGTTGGACCTGGGCCCGCTTTACTGTCTTTATCTCCTCATTGCAGAGACTGGTGCAGCTGTGTGTCTGTGTTCTATTTTTTAAGCCACTTTATTTACAGCCCTAGCCTGCCCACCCTCTACAAATCCATACTGCAAAGCCTCCCTCACACACAAAGGCAAACTCGGGAAAATCCTTTTTTTCTGCTTTTTAACGGGACGTTTTACCTGTAGGCTATCTGCACTGCACAGACATTGTAACTTCAGCAGGAAAGAAAACGAAATCTCTTGCTTCCTCCTCCTTGAACAAAGCGAAGCAATGCCTCCACTTTATTCTCGGAGGAATAACTCTGTATTGTGCTTCAAAAAGCGAGTTGTAACGCTGATAGCAATAAAGGGAAAAAATGGAGCTCGAATGAAAAGAAATGCCAGTAATGTATGTATAACTTTCATAACAAAACCCACATGCAGTAATGAAAGCATCCAAGTAGAAGCCCTCTATTGTTCCCAATAGCCTTTGTGCCACAGTCGTCGCTCAATAACCAACAGAGTCAACAAACGCGAGGTATAAACAGAGGTGCTCGCCGGCTAGAAGCACGACATAAAAATCAAAGAACAAACAGCAGGAGAGGGGTGCAGCAGAATTGTTTTATTGTTTCCAAATGGCATTTTTTTTATTGTTGTGGGGAGTTAAAACCCATGCCGAGCTTATGGAGGGAAATGCTGTTGCTAGGCGAAATCAAATCAATGCTCCAACATTTTCATCCCCCACTTATTGTCTCTCCGATCAATCATGCCAGTTTTGAAGTGATAACTTTGAAAACACTTGAGAATGTTATAAAGATGCTTAAGAGAGATTGGAAAGTGTGACAGCATGAGCCGAGAAACTGTCTAATGTGGGACAGAATACAGTAACTGGGGATTATTCTTCCACCACACTAACAAAGGCCAAACAGAGAGCTTAACACAAATGAGTCAGAGACAAATGTTATCACTTTGTAAAAGCAACACATGAAAGTTCTTTGAATCCTACCCACATTTTGACTTTTAAGTTCTTGGTATTTTTAACTATATACTTCAACCGGATGAGGACATGTAATCATTAGACATCTGGATCTTAAATTATCATACGAACAAGCTGAGCAAACATTAGCCTTTAGCATGTAGCTGCTCCGCCCTGTGTCCCCTGGGAAAACAGTCATGAATCATGAACTGTTAATTTAATGTTATTTGTCTGTTTGTTTTGGCAATAAGGAGACGTCTTTGGATAATTTCGCTCCTGGTAAAATGAAAAAAATCCTAGAAAGACTTACTGAATGGTAAACGCCTATGATCCCATGCTACTTTGCGATGCCACCAACCCCAACTTTTAAAAAAATATGTTTTTTGCACTATAAGCAATACAACATTTAAATATGAAGTGATTAAAGGGGAATATTATGTTAATTTGAACATGTCTGCATATTTAGCCATGTTGGTTGCCTATGGATGGCAATTTCATTCACCGACTTCAGTCGAAATACCTTAATAGTTATTGGATAGATTTCTGTAAAGTATTTTTCTGATATTTATGGTCCCAGAGGATACATTTGAATTACTTTGCTGATCCTCTGTCTTTCCCTCAAGGCGCCATAATAACGTTGACATTTATGGTTTTAGGTAAAAATGAATATGTTAGCATTTAGCATCGCTCTACAGGGACTATTAAGAATGACTTCGACATATAGTGGTTTAAGTGAATCGTATTGATGGCTATTGAAATGATTAGCTTTCGATATTCAAGGTCCCTAGCCTGGGGTTAAATTGTTATAACCTCGATGATTCCTTATTTTTTACTAAAGGCCATCATAAAGTTCCAGAGCTGCAGCTCCCTTGATCTTTTGGTGTCTACATTTGAATGTATCTTTTAGCAATGTTAGCATGCTAACTGGCTACATTAAGATGATCAACCCAGTAAACACCAGCGTTTCTATTGAGAGCACGTTAGCATGTTCTTGTTAGCATTTAGCAAGCCCTACAGGGACTATTACAACCCAGTCTCACGGCATTTCGTGTTATAGTCACGACATTTAATCTATTGATTCGTGTTCACCAACACGAATTTCCCCTTTTTTTCGTGTCACACAGAACGATTTTAAAAGCAATGTATTTCTATTGGTAGTATGTTTCCTGTCTGTCACAACCTCGATACAAACTGATTAACCCAAATGCACGACCCAGAGACAAAGTCTTGAATGTAACTAAATGTATATTTAATTCCAAAGATCAGGTAATCCCTCTTAACAGAGTAGGTACTAGAAATAACAAAAGGCGCTCACAAGGAGGAAAAAAATTAAGCCTAACAAAAAGAGAACTTGAGAAAAACTTAAGCCTAAAAAATTAACAATAAAACAAAACCTGACATGAGTGAAAGCAATCCTTTCTGAGTTGAGGCTTGGCACGACCATTCGGGGAAACAAACAAGACGAACTGACACAGGACAGGGGAGAGACAGGACTATTTAAACAAGAGGTGAGTGGGAACAGGTGGAAACAATCAGGGGCGGGGCTGACACTGATGATGGCGGGAAAAACACACAAGGGGAGGAAGAAACAGGGCCTGAAATGAAAGACAAGAGGTAGGTACAAAATAAAACAGGAAATGGAAAACGAGACATGACAATAAACACAGAGGCCCTTTCTCATTTCATCAAATCCCCCTCCTCGACTCCTCGACTCCTCGACTCCTCGGTCCTCCGGTAGTGACCCGGAAATGAATTTCACCGCGCCATGTTGAAGGACATCTAATTTCTCTAAATGCACTTCGAGGATCGAGCGTCGAGGAGGCTCTCTGGAGGAGCTCTAACCGAGGATACACTGATGGGTCCTCCACGGTCCTCCACGGCTCCTTCGTGGATGCATTTCCGTGAACAGAGATGTTTCAAAGAGTCGTGACGCACGGCCGGACTTATCTCAGCCAATGATAGCTCTGCATGCATCCCCTGGATATTATTTTAGTAACTGCTCTCATCGCAACGCGATGTTTCCAGAGAGAACAGCTGTGAGGTCCGTGCAGAAAGCAGAGCAGTGTGTATAATATATATCACTCAGTGTAACAGGCCTACTCTCTTTATTTGCTTTAGTTTAGTAGATATCTACAAACAAAGAGTCGATATCTTTATAAGATCATTTAGTGCTTCACATAATAAAATACACAATGGCTGTAGCCTGATTATGTGCTTTAGGTTAGGAGCTGTGCGTGTGTGTGGTGTAGGTGTGTGTAGCCTGTTATTGTCTCATTATACCGCACTGTGAATGAATCAAAGTAAATATATAAGTCGTCATGAACACATCTGTCCATCAGACAGAGGGCTGCTGTGCCTCCTGTCATCATTAATGGACGTCTCTTTAAAATGACCGCTCAGAGGAGAGGAGTTCTCATTTCTCTAACCGGAAAACAGACGTAGGCGATACACACCCACTGAACTGATTACCCAAGATCCTCAGCTATGGTTGAAGCTCGGTGATTGGATGTTTTAGCCGCAATGCACGTTGGGATATGGTGTTTATGCGATATGACATCCGAAAACATTTTTTAAAAAGAAATAATACTTTATTCCGAGTGTGCTTGGTTTTCTCTTTGAAAGACATCACATAACGGCATTGTAATACACGGTTCGGCTGCATTAAATATTACATATCTGCCGTAGTTCTTTATTTATAGAGCCCCGATGAGAAGACTTCTGGACAAACTTGAAGAACTGCCGCCGAAACTGAATACGTGACGTGGATCATAAATATATCAGCAATTAAACAACATCTTCAATATCTCTTCACACAATACGTCTCCTTGCAGTATCAATACTAATTTGGCTGACTTTTAGATTTGATCCAATTGGTAGATAAGTAACGGTGCACAGTTGATAGACTTGTAGTTTTTAAAGACATTACTAATTTTCTTTGAATTAAAGAATGTAAATACTGAGTTGAGAGAATAGTCAGGGGATTTGGGTGATGGGAGACACATCTATGGAATCACAATTTCAATAGCTTACCATTAGATGACGGATATACCTTTCTGTCTGTGATGTTTTACAAATCAGATATTAATGTGTAGAAGTAAAACATGTCAAATAATATAGCAATATTCTGTAACATTATGTGAAAACATGAATAAAACTACACATCTTCAGATGTTATACATACATAAGTGTCCTACACTAATAATAAAATGTATAATGTGTTGTGTTAACACTTTAAACTTGACAGTTTTTTAACTAGTGGTTAAAGCACGTTATTGAATTATTGTTTTTATGTGTTATATTTGATGAAAAACATTAAGAGTACATACTTTCATAGGGGGAAAGTAGAAGGTCAATGATAGAAATATAGAATATAAAATATCAAGAAGATACTGTAAGTGATCTCTACAATAAAACAGTTTAGTGCTGGATATACAAAGATGGAGGATGTCCAAAACAGACAAACTAATTAACCTTTATTTAAACATTAAAGAATACGTTAGGTTAAGGTCTTCTTTTAAATAAGAAAAAAGCTTTGGGGGTATCTATCTACAGATAAATATTAAGCCTGACAAAGTACTTAACGTCTAATATATTGCTTTCCTGCAATGTTAACTATGTTGAAGCACTTATTTGAACTGATATTATACATATGAATTATACTCTTATGTATGTAGATCGTATAAGAAATGTGCAGAATATGACAGTTTAATGGTGGAGGTATACACACATATTGATAGATGTCTTGTAATGCACTGTTGAGGAACCTGTGACCCAAGTTTTTCATTCATTGCATAACTACACCGTATTGTGTATATGATTATGTCAATAAACCTTAGAAAATCTTGAAATCTTGAAAGGGATGTGCAAAATAGCAATTATATACAGTTTTTAATGAACTATTAGTAGAGAATAACAAATAATGACTATGCTTTATAGAGATCTGCAGATAAATGTTTAGTCTTCTCAAGCACCAACAAATATCTCTCCTGATTGTTGGCACCTTCCCTGAATTTTACTCAGGTGTAACTAAAGTCTGCTTTAAGAGTTGTTTATATTTCACATCATTAATCAGAATCTGCAAAGTAACTAAAATAAAGGTAGTGGAGTAAAAATACCAGGTTAACCTCTGAATTGTAGTGGAGTAGAATTACAAAGTAACAATGAGCTGTCATGTGGGTATATATTAATGCTGCCCATTATGGACACAAGCAATTTTCACCCATTTATTAATGATATGTTTTAACTTTGATAACACCAATGTGTTTCTTATCCCCTAAACCTCCAGGGTGTACACAGTTTAATACTGGCAACTTCTAATTGTGGGGAAAACATCTTTTAAAACTACAATTCCTAGTAGAGACGTGCCATAGAACATGTTGCGAAACACAATAGCCAGCATGTGTAGTTCTGGGGGGGGGGGGGGGGGGCGGGGCTGGATTAACACCATATCCCAACGTGCATTGCAGCTAAAACATCCAATCACCGAGCTTCAACCATAGCTGAGGATCTTGGTTAATCAGTTCAGTGGGTGTGTATCGCCTACGTCTGTTTCCGGTGGCTTTATTTTGAAATTCAGTTCCTGACGGACGGCAAAAAAGCCTGATATTATAGAATTAAACAAATAAATAAAAACAAGGATAATTGTGTGTTATTGTTGAGTAAATAACAGTGTGTTATTTAGGAAAGAATAACAAATTAGAAGGAAAAAAAGATTACAAAAAATACATATTTCAGTATCCTGAGCCCCATTTATTTTCCTCAAAAAAAGTCCGACATTATACGATTTAAAATAAAAACAATAATCGTGGCTTGATATTGAGTAAGAAAATGTTTTTATGGACCACACAGCTTCCGGTCTTCCAAGACCCAACCAGACAAAAATACGTGTTGCAAGCACGAAACACACTACCAATAGAAATACATTGCTTTTAAAATCGTGACACGAAAAAAAGGGGAAAATCGTGATGGTGAACACGAATCAATAGATTAAATGTCGTGACTATAACACGAAATGCCATGAGACTGGGTTGACTATTAAGAATAACTTCCTGTCCCTCAGGTGATGACGGCAGTAGAGCAGGACTACCGGCTGCCCCCCCCCATGGACTGCCCCATGGTGCTGCACCAGCTGATGCTCGAGTGCTGGATGAAGGAGAGGAACCTGCGGCCCAAGTTCTCCCGCATCGTCAGCACCCTGGACAAGCTGCTCCGCAACGCCGCCAGCCTCAAGGTGGTGACCAGCACCTACTCAGGGTGAGGAAGTAGCTTTCTCACATGCTTATTGTTAAGCACTGAGCATTGTTCTCAAACTGTTTTTGTTTCATTGAAGTGAATGGATAAAGGTTTCAATGCCAATGGAAAGTGTTTCCTTTTGGAAATGTATTTTATCTTAGCTCTTGTTAGAACACCAAAGCAAATAACCGTTGCCATCTTGGCAGTGAGATTTAGCAACCTCTCAGACACTCTTGATTTACTCACTGTGGGTGTAAAGGGTTGTACCAAATGGATGTTGATCTTCAAAATAGTATTTCAACTTCTAAAGAATCTCAGTTAACAACAGCAACCAACATTTATAGTAAATGCAGAAGCATGTTGGAAAATTGTTGAGATTTGCTAGAACTTTGATCATAAAGTCAGTAATGTATTCCTTGTAGTTTATTTTTGCTGTGGGCGGACTTGACAGCTGCTACCTGTTATTGAAAATATATGCATTTTTCTGCTGGGTTTTCCATATAGTCACTTTTTAGGTTGTTTCCACAATAACAGCTGAATAGTGCAAACACATGAAAGGAGTGATGCAATTCTTTCTCTTTCACCTTGTGTGAAATTGTCACCCATATTGTATTTGGCAGCTGTGAAGTGCACGGCAATGTCTGATATGTACAGTAGAGAGAAGTTGTCAAGGAACAACAAGGGAGAGGAAGACAGCTGACGATCTTCAGTCATAATTCAATGGGGTATGTAATTTATTTCAGAAAACACTTTTTGTTATATTCCATGGAATGCTCTTAACGTCCCGATAGCAATGAATATATTAAATGCTTTGACAATAAATACATACAAAAATTAATCTGTGGAAGCCGTAGCACTGTAAAAAGCACGACCAATCATCTGAGCCGGCCCGGCTAAAGTAACTGGATGGCCTAACTGCCTGTCAGCGTTCCATCTGTGCACAAACTTATCTCGTGCCCTCATTGGTCATGTGCGTGTGTGTTGGAGGAGGGACTCTGTAAGAAAGTCTGAAGGAAGAGGCATATTTTTCTAGCGCACTCGAGCTGGTTTCTCCATTCTTACCTACCCTACCTTTAACTCTTTTTAGGGTGCAGCTATATGTTTTATTTATTTCAAAGTGGGCCCATTTTAATAATATTTGTTTTCCCTTCAAATGTGCAGAGGACTCCCCAAGTGCTGTGTTTAATTTATTTTAAAGTAGGCCTGTGTATTATTTTTAATTCTCCTTATAAGAGTTCTTTGTTTCTTATTAGAGGTTAACAGTTTTATATCATGTAATGAATAGCCTAATAAATGCAAAAAAACTGTAGTTTTTGTCTGATATAACAATAAAAAACGATGAAATATGTTTTGCGGCTCCAGACAAAAAATGTTTTGGGAAAAAGGAGCAAAATGGCTCTTTTGGTCAAAAAGGTTGCAGACCCCTGGGTTAACCGAATATATATCCTATACAAAAAAAAATTGGGTAAATAAAACTTCCACTTTTTTTTTTTGGAATTTTGGAATTTTAAATTTTTCCCAAAAAAAAAATTCAGTAATTTTTGGAAACAAATACATACATGTTCAAATAAGTGTTGAAACCAAGTCGAATTTGTCAAATGTATTGAACTGGTGATCACAGTTTGACAGCTATAGGCCTACAGCTTTCATGTGCAGGATTCACAATCAGGCCAGCTGTAGAGAAGACCCTCTCAGCTGGAACGGAGGTTGCGGGTATAGCAAGGTATAGCATATATAAGTTTAATTTGGCATAGTTTGACCTCTACACCGCACTCACTAACCTGGTCGAAATATTTCCACACATTACTCCTTTTTGACGCCATGTCTGTTGTGTAGCACTCTTCTTAGAGTGTAAATAATTACCGGACTATGACTGGTAAAATATGTTGAATACCGGCAAAACTAAATCTCTCCTGTCAAAATGTCTATGTACTTTGCCGCCACACACGGTTGCCAAGCAGCGCTTATTGTTGTTTCGGCTGGCCACTCATGTGTTGCGAGTGTTGACAGGGGGCGGGGGAGCACGCTCATGAACTGTTAGCGCTGGAAACCTCGCAACGGCTGCGGAGCGCATTTGCGCCGCATTTGGGCCTAAGAGGAGGTTTGAGTCTGCGTGATCTGCGTGTAGGGAGGGGCAGCAGCCATATCATTGGCTAGAACTAGCTAGATCTGATGGATTTGGACATAAACACGAGTGAAATATAACCGGACACGAGAGAGAGAGATCAGCACCTGCAGCTCTGCCCGCTGTGAGGGACCGGTGAGCGGAGCAAAACACACCTTTAGACGTCAACTAACACATTTAGCTATGGCACTGTCGTGTATATATATACATTGAATTATTCAATTTGCTAATATGTAATCAACTTAGGCATCCCTCCCAAAAAAAACTACAACATTTTTTTTTTTAAATATTCATAACTCATATTCGAATACATGAATAATTTCGAATATTCGATTAATCGTTCCCATCCCTATGACAGACGTCTGCCTTTTTTCTCCGAAGCTTCCTTTGAAAGTGTTGTTAACTTATTCATAGGTATGCTCACATTGACAAGTTGTTTTTCAACTTTTGTTTTTAGCGCAATGGCTCCAAACGCCCCGACAAATTTTTACTGACATGTTTGTTCTGAATTTTGTTAGCCTGGCGTCCAGTATGATTAGTGCTGGTAGATCCTGAGCTCTGAAGTGATGTATATTTCATCAAGAGCACTTCCTCATCCCTGACAATGCCAGTTTCCTGTTTCCGACGGGCACAAAGGCAGAATTCATACATACGGCATCAGGGTCTTGTGCCAGCTCCTTGGCTCTCAGTCTCACTCCAACACAGAGGCCCCAGGGCAATCCCTCTGCCAGCATTTGGGCTCAGCGAAGCTAATTGTGTGTGGAAATGTAATGGCTGACCTCGGTTTAATTCCCCCTATACTTGGCTGGATGCTGGAATTTAGGTGATAGGACAGACAGAAGCCAGAGCTGCTGATGTGGAAAAGCAGAAGGTGATGAAGTGTGAGTAATAAGGGAGATTGAGGAGAAGCTAAAAGAGAGGAATGTGTTTAATTAGGTTGCTAATGAGCTTTTTAATGCATCAGGGGAGGGCGCGCCCAATGCTGAGCGAATAGTGTGTGTGTGTGTTGATGTTATGCTATGTGTCGCTGTATGCAGATCATATGCCAGTGATTAATTTATGGCCTCATCTGTATGCAGCAGAGACGGCGGCAGAGGAGGCGGGCGATAGGGTTGTGTTGTCGGATCACGGTTTAGAGAGCGTCTCCCGTGTCCTCTCGTGTGAGCGCTCGCTCCCACTCACCTGCCATTGGCTGCTGGCTGATTTTGGGGCAGATAACGGGAGGGAGGGAGCGGATATGAGACGCGGCGTATCTCTGCCGTATCTACATCCTTAAAAACAAGGACGCTGGCCGAGCAACAAAGGACGCACGGAGGCTGTTTTTCCATGATAGCTAAGAAATATGTTGCATTTTTTATTAAAACTATGAAATGAGATGGGTATATTTGGCTTGGAATTAGTTTTTTTTTACATCTGTAGATCAGGAGATTTGTCTTTTTTTGTTTATAACCATAAGGTCTAAGGTGCTGGCGATGTTCTATACAGCACTCAGATGGATGGGACCTTAATCCTCCTTCGATGAGAGCACTTAGCGGTGTAATAATGAGCCTTATCTTTTGTTTCAAGTGGATGTGAACCTGTTGCTCTGTGTTGGCAGGGACCTGCTGCGGCTCGGAGGCACTCTGCCGGGACACAACAGGAAGAGTCCGGACAGCAGTCAGGAAATCGTTCGGCAACAGATGAGCCAAACTCTCCCCATCCGAGTGTGATCTGCTGCGAGAAGGAAACAGAAAACTACCTAAAACTCTATCCTGATGTAAAATAAAGAGAAGATAAAAGAAGGGGGACCGTTTTGGAGATGTCTTCTCAGCTGGAGATTTCAAGTCTGTTTAAAGAGAACTGTCCATCGCAGTGTGTGTGTTCATTACTTGACACTTTGTTGACATAAAGCCAAACTTCCGATTGCCCCTTCTCAGGTTGTGTTTGCATGTCTGCATGAGTTTTTATGCTGGTTGGGAATCAGTCTTTCCTCCCCCCCCCCCCCCCCTCACATCTGAGGAGATACAACAGTGCCAAGAAGAAACAAATGTTGTCTTAAAAGGAACTTTTAAGACAGCTCAACATCTGTAGACCTTCAATCCAATCAACCTTTTTCTTTTTTAAACCCAACCTGTTCTTTTTTTTTGTTTTGTTTTATTTCAGGATAAAAGCGTTTCATCTGCTTCCTCTCAAATACTGTCTTCCACATGTACCCGGGAGATTTACAAATCTGTACAAAGCATCCAAGTCTTCACACCGTCCTTCTGCGCGGGGACATAACTGACACTGTGCGGGACACGTTCATGTGCATGCCAAAGTGGAATCTTCTTTGTGAGAAAAGTACAAACAAGTTCCACATTAACCGTTTGCTTTGGTGGCATCTTTGCTGTACGGCCTTTAACGTCCGCGTTTTTCCTAATCTCATTTGGTTCATATACGCATTGTTTTGAATGCTAAGTTATTATCGCAAAGAGTTGTTTTTGTGTGTTTCTTTCTTATTACGAGAACCGGGGCTTAACTTTTTTATTACAATGCTTGTTTTTTTCAACCAGACAGACTGAATGAGTGAATATGTTCTGCTCGGACGGAATACTTCTAAATGAAAAGCGCCTGTGGTCGTGACGTGTTGTACATTTTACTTTGGCGATTTGTTGCAGATCAGTGGGAATTACAAAGGTCGTCATCCAGATGATAGCTTGGTGACCTTAATGTTGACCTGACCTAAAACACCCATGTAGAAAGAATCATTCATTGGTTTATTTCTCCTGACATGTGTTTTCTGCAGCGTGCCAGCTGTCAGCGCAGTTCCTATCTAAATCAACTGCCTGTATATAATACTATATTTCTATTAGACCAGTCAGCTCAGCATTTACAACCATCTGGCCTGATTCTGGCCTCTCTATGACCCTCCTTTATATGCCTGTTTGTTTATTGTCGAGGAGCAAGCACATGGAGGAACTGCAGTCTAAATGGTCATTACATATCTGAAACTATATGTCCCAACGAAAGAAGAACAATGTGTGTCTGTTAGGGCAGACCTTTTCCTGTGTAATTAAAAGGTGTATTTCATTGTAAAAAGAAAAAAAAATGGCAGAAAACTAGAACGAAAAATAAGCATTTCTCTTTCAGTATTTTTACGATAATCATATGCAAATAAATTATTAAACGGATCTCTGGTATTCTTTTTGATTTGTCGGCGGGTTCACCAGGCTGGCGTTCCGGGTCTCCTCTCATCTGGCCGAGGGATGAAAAGAGAGGGAAGAGCAAGTGTGTTTTACCTCCTTCCTCAGATATATCACAACGGCTTCGGGTAGACTCATTAAGATATAAGATTAATCATAATTAGCCAATTAGCCAGACCACAGGACTATTCTGGGGAACTTCAGTCTCTGTCGCTGCTGGAGAGGCTTCAAGGAGGCGAAGTAAATCTGGCTCCACACCAAATGTCAGTGTTGTCTGGCTTTAATCCGCCCGCCAGGACCCAAACCGGCTCTCTTTCCGTACCAGTGCAGATGAGTGAAGCTGTCACCTTCTGTTTTTATTGACTGAAAGGGAGCTCTTCTGTCGGGGGGGAGTCATACCTACCCTCCCTGCTCAGACAGCAGCTGCAGAAACGTAATGAGTGCTGATGTGGTGTTCTCTGCATGTTCTCTAATCATGGCTGCTGCTCTCACAGGATGTACACAAGGCCAGGCAACACTAAGGTCTCGTCAAGCGCACAGATCCAAATGTGCAATTTATGCAGACTCAGAGCCACCGAGAGCCATTCTGCTGAGCGACCCACCAAGCGTGGCATTTATCACGAGTGTCAAAGCTCTGCAGTCAGACTGGAGATACATGTAGGGCCATTTGCTTTGATTTTTCCCCAAATGTTGTTCTATTTTTCACAAATTCAGTCTCTTCCGTTTGAAGTTTTCGGAATTCTAAGAGTCACCCTTAGATCGTAAAATTGAGAGTCTACTTATGTTGTAATGAAAAACAGTTCAATAAGTAAATAAGCTACATTTGATATTTCAAATAACTCATTGTGATTCTTTTTTACTTATATTGCAATTAGAAAAAGGAGGGATTTATCATTTGTGCATCTTTATTCTCATTATCAATTAAAAAATATATATAAATGGTCAGGGTGTGATTTGGAGCTGTTCTAAAAAAGTTTGAGTCCGGATTACAATTTTGGGCTGGATATCTCTTCAATTCCACAATACCTTATTCAAAATGGTATTTCAACTCATATTTTGGCCATTAACAAATATTGTGCATCATCCAACATGACAATGCGCTATGTTTTTGATTGTAGGTGTTCATTGTACATATTCTTACAGGTCAATCCACTCGTATATTACAACACACACTACCCCAATCTGCCAGCAACAGGAAAAGATTTTAGGGAAGGAACATTTCTGTAGTGCAAGTAGTATTGACCAATCACTTTTGAGCAGGCTTTGGTTGGCTGGAATGCAATCTTGAAACCTATTGGCTATTGTTCGACAAAGGATTTGGCTTTGAATGTGATATAAGATTGTAAAATTGCAACATCTCTCTCAACTTCAACAATGTACTTGCAAGTCAATGGTTAGACTGTAAAAGCAAGCATTGGAACAGAAAAATAGTTCTTAGCCCGGACACCTGTTGGCTACATCTGAACCCCAGAAATATTGCTCCTGCCTCAGGAGGCTTACCATCGTCAGACTGAAAGCTGATGGATTCTGGCATTGATCGTATGTTGGCTATACTTACAGATTAGTTGTTCTCCTGGCTCTTAATAGTCAATATTGCTCTGCTCTAAATTGTTGCTAATTCCTCAGTTTTATTGATGGATTAAAGCCTTCTCAGACAGGGCCTCTCCAACATCACTGTGAAGTTTGTGTGGGGGGAGTAGCTGAAGCTCGCACTTAGATAAACACCGACACAGAGAGCAGCAGAGAGCAGAGTACCTGAAAATGACACAAAAAATAAATAATCTTAAAGCCATCCAAATTTCATCGATTTCATGATTTTCCGTGTTTTACAGTTTTATTAGCCCATCAAATCCCTCAATTGCTTCCGTGTTTTTCCGCATCACAGAATTCACAGGGCACTGGATAATTGCTTTGCGGTTACATATCTGCTGTTTCTGTTGATGCGAGACAAGAGATAAAAAATGCTTGACCTTGGTGGAGAATATAATGCGTACCAGCCTGCTGAGGAGGAAGTGTTCCGGGGAAAAGCTGTATTTTTCCATTTTGAACCGGACCAACGTTTTAATGAAGCTCTGAGAGGCAGGAGAAGCTCACTCTGTTTACCGTTGCGTCCGAGATCTGACACGATGTCAAAAGTGATATTTTGCATCCTGTTTACCATTAGAGACTTGAAGCGTATCCAGCTTTGCGGCTCACTGCTCACCAGAGAAACCCCTCGCAGACCCCCATCTCACAGAGCGGGATGTTTTTCAACGCTGCCTCTTAAAGATGATACAAAATGGCATCGGACCTAAAGGAAAAAATATCTCATTATTGTATTACAGTCCATTAAGTGATCAGAAATCAGCTGCGACGGGGCTCTCACTGAGGTTTTAATGAGCGTGCTTGGTGGAGGGAAAATGGAGGGAAGTGATGGCACGATGACAGACAGTTTTTATTTCAACGGCTGCTGGTTGCCCGTCAGTGACCAGGCCATCGGCGGGTTAACGTCAAATCCCTACTTCCCCAGAATGATCCCTACGATTAGTTTGAGCTTAACAGCAAGCCTTATACTGGATGTACACAACCAGCCAACCAAACCCCCCCCCCCCCCCCACCCCCACTCATACACAGATCTGCAGGATTGGCAGTGATTTGTCAGATGTAGCTGCATGTACTCGTGTAGTCCCTCTGAATTCACCAGTCAGTTTTCCTTCCAAGCTCAAAGTACCTCATTCATTTACCATCCTGTCCAAAGCAAGTGTAATGCCTCCAATTACAGGGGGGGTCTGCAAGCAAGGCAGATTTGGAGCGAGGAGGAGAGTTTGCTACGCATCAGGGCCTTTTAACAGAGTAGTGATTTGCTGCTGCTGGCCGGTTGCTGAAGCTGCCTGCGCCCGGCTCATCAATGGAAACTACCCTCTTTATGGCGAGGCGCATGCAGCACTAAGCCCAAACTGTGGGGATAGACACAGAAATATCAGGCTTTTTTTCAAAAAAGACACGACCGGCTCTTCTGCACTGGAGGAATTTCTGCATCTCTGCACCGGCAAGCACAAATGGAAATCAAAAGTCTTTTCAGCAATCATTTTTTATGTAAAAAATGGGCTGTATTTTAATTGAATATTCTAAGATACTGCACAAGCAGAGTGATGCTGCAAAGGCAGCACATGAAGGAAGGCGAGATAGCTGCAGTTATACTGAAACATGTGATACGGTGCATTGAATATATTTTCTATCTGCTGTTTTTACTTGAATCAGCTTTGATTTTGGAGTTCATCCATCTTTAAGGTTCACTATGAAGCCTTAAGATTCCTACGAAATACTTTCAAAGTGGCAGATTGCATTGATCCATATTCATATCACTGGATAATATGCAGCATCATTTTGCACATAAGGACCCTCTGCAGAACTTTCCACATAAAATATTAACTACTGCAGTTGTACTTTACTTAAAAGCTGCACATCATATAGAACCCATTGGAGACATAATTACATTTCCCTATTCACAGACTTTAATTGAAAAATGGTGGTTAATTTCCCAGTTTTCCCATGATTTTACTGTAATTCTTTAATTCAGAATACAGCCACCCGCTCAGAGACAGTCTTCTTTTGAATCCAAATTAGTGGATTAATTAAACTTCTTCTTATAACCAGATTATTGTAATCTTGTTAAAGATAATCCCTAACCCTAGTCTTCAAGTATTATATCAGCGAAGCAGCTGCCACTAAAAGCAACCGTAATCAGGACTAATATAAATATAAATGTGAAGCTGCAAACGATCTCATTAAAAGAAATACTCAATTCCCCCTCAATTGATTTGTTCGCATTTAATTAAAAAAAGCCGCAACACAAACACCCTTGCGCACACACAAGTAAATACTGCCTTCTAATTTAGCTCTTACCTCCCAGCACTTTCCTCATAAAAAGCCCCAGTGTTGCAGGGACTGATGATTAGCATGGACAGTGCACTTTGTGCTCAGAGTCTCCCTCTCTGCAGAGTGTGATCCATTAAATGGCCTCCAAAAGCCCCGGACATTGATTAACGGGTGTCAGTCGCCCTGTTGGATTTGAAGGACAGGATACTCATTAGAAAAGTGCCACTGGCCTTCCCAAAGACTGGAAAGATGGTAAAAAAACCGCCTGACTCTAATCATTTCACACTTCCGTACAAAAAGCAGAAGTGTAAAAATGACCATTTGCCTTATTAAACCAGGAAGGGGTTAGGTGCCAGACTATTTCTTGGCCGGGGCCTAAAGTGCATGGAGTTGGCCAAGAAATAAAGAGCTGGATCTTCAGGAACAAAGTCACAAAATGTGTTTTTGGTCATTTGACATATGTTCCAACACTAATAGCTAATACCAAGCCTGAAAAAACCTCAACAGTATTGGTGCTCATTTTCATTTGGTCTTGCATTCAAAATGTTACCAAAAACCAAAAGGAAAAGCATACAAAATATACTAAATGTAACCAAAAATAGAAAGCACTCATCATGCAATGTCCCATTTCAGAATAATATAGCTCATGTTATTGTATTATTTTCACTGTATAACACAGCTTCAGGTTTCAAGTCAGTGTTTTTCCGATGCTGTTTGGCTACGGCTACCCTAACCCTAATGCTAAAGCGCATATGTTTCTAAATTTAGGCTCCAGACATCCAATCACTAAAATTCCTAATAGGCTTATAATATTGAGTTTAAAACAGCCAAGTGAATTGCAAAAATGTAGCATAACACTGTATAAGAAGTCAATGTATGATGCCAACTCATGGCCAATGGGATTTATGCGTTGTGTATTACACACTGTTACGAAAACACTTGGGTTAACTTGAGAACACAACTCACAAACAATATAACAAAGGTTGAGTTAATTTTGACATTTTAATGCAGAATTGTCACATATTATACTGTACTTGAGTATAGCTCAAGTACCTCAACATTGTACGTAGGTACAAGCACTTGAGTAAATATACTTTCTAATATTGGTTTTTACTGCTCAGTTTCAAACT